GCTGATCAGACCTTGGAAGAGGTCCATCTGTTCTTGAAAGAAAGAAACCTTCAGTCCAACCCTTTAAGAAAGGCACATTACCCTCTGACTTTGAGCCAACTAGACAAAAACACGTCATCCAACTTGACTAATGCACATGTTTCCAATTTACAGAAAGACTCTTGGTTTCAAAATTGAAATAAGATGCCAGTACAGTAGAGGAAGTTCTAAAACAATCTCTATAATCCAAGTTTTTTGGCAGTTTGGGCTCCATCATGTTTCTCCAGCCAAGAAATAATTCCAAAGACGACATTAGCTGTTATGTGTAGGCAAACAGCCTCACAGAGCCAGAAAATACCTGACAGAATTAATTCCTTGCTGGACCTTTGGCTATGGGTTCAAACACACATGCCTTAGATTAGAGTCTCCAAGCCAAAAAAAGGGAAGGATCATTGGGTTTACACAGCACCTTTCCCTGCTGGATCCTTTCTCAGCACACGTACAGAGGGAGAAAAAGAACATTACAACACGAAAGCACTGACAGATGTATGATAGGAAACTCCTGGGTGACAACACTGAGGAGAGCATCTCAAAGCCAAGGATAGAGCATGTCCCTGCTCTTATCACTGCTTCCTTCAGCACGATTCTGCATCTTAATTGGTGTGAATCAATCATCAGTCATCTTCCAAAGCACAAACAGCTGCCATTACACCTACTAACCGTGCATCTGCAGCTCTGACTCGTACTGAGAAGGCACGAAGCGGTGCAAGGGATGAGAATTTTTCTTTATTCTAGCCTGACTCACGCATAACCTTTGTGTTTACATAGGTTTGTGTCAATGTCGCCAGTTTCCAGCAATGAAGAAAAAGCAGAAACTCCAAAGGGCTCTGTGGTTTAGCTTTTACAGCCTCTTTTCTCCTTCACTGTTCACAGTGCACTTCTCAGCCCACAGTCAGACTCCAGAGATAAAGTGCTGTAGTCTCCTTTTCTGTCAGTGTACAGACACCCTGAGTGGAGCAGATATCCCATTACCTGTTGTTGTGCTGTACTACAAAGCTATTCAGCTTTTCTATTTCTTTCCAGCACGTGACCTCCACACTACTTCAAGGCTCTTAACCAGCTCTACCCTGAAAAAGAAAGTGAATTCAATGCCACACAGCTAAGTCAGTCACAAGTAGGAATACTTACATTGCTAAATAAATTAAACTAGTGACAGCCCAGTCTCAGGACCATCTCATTGGACCAACCAACTGAACTGGAAAGTAAGTGGACAGTACTGGCGAGATCATCATGATTTGATCAGCAGCAAAAGGCAGGGAGACCCAAACTGGTATTAGCATGATGCTGTCAGAAGGAACAGGAGCTCTGCTCCATTTTTACATTCCCTCCACTCTAGAATTTGTGACTCACTACACAATGAAAAGGCTTTGCAGAGCACTGCAGTATGACTCAGATGAGAATACAGCCAGAACAAAGCTGTTCATATCAAGATATTTTCAACCCCAATGATTCATGGGAGGATTAGGAAAAGAACTGGTCTGATAAGATCCTCTATAGGGAGGACTATGGAGCAAGTCCTGCAAGCAGCACATGAAGGCAGCTCTGACAGGACTCACCAGCATGCCAAACCCCTGCAGAAAAAGGATCACAACCCCAGCTCCTTCTACATGGAGATTCATCTCAGTTCCCCCAGAAAAAGAAAACAACTGGCTGTACTGCTTGTTGTGGCAGAAGCAGAGCATCTGAAGGACATCAGGATACACATGCATTTTTAAACTATCTAGTCCAGAGGGGAAGGATCTGTTCTGCTCCTCCACACTCGTCTAACCTAATTGCAACAAGATATGCTGTGGAAGAAGATAAAGAGTAAAGTAATACCAAGAGAGAGCATTTCAGAGCCCAACTCAGGTGAAGAAGGTATGCAGCCAAAACCTGCAGCTGCGCTGATCTCAGCCCTTGGCAGCAGCACTGCCATGAGCATTTCTCATGCTCTCAGACAAAAGGAGGAAGCCCCAGTAGGTTGGTACACAATGGCTGCAGCCGCCTTGAGACAGCCCAGCACACAGCAGGCATCCCTGCTGCTCTGGCCAAGGGACTGCTCGGGACAGAACAGCAGAAGCAGCCATTGCATCTACATCCTGCCAGACATTCCCCATCACCCGGGGTCCCAGAAGACTTAACAAAGACTGAGACTTCAAAGGCTGGCAGCACGTGCTCATCGCCCTCAGTCAGAGAGGTGTCAGGGCACAATCCCTGGGCTGCTGCCCCAGGGGAACAGCGGCCTGGCATTACACTAATCCTGCTAGGCAGAGGTGCAAAGCCTCTTCAGGCAGCAGCCTCCTCACCTGCAGCAGCACGTGGCACTGCAACAAGTGACAGGACAACATGCAAACCCAAGCCAGTGCATTCCACTTCTGGCTGGAGTGGGATGTTCAGCTGGTGCACAATTTCAAAGCCTGTCATCAAAACACAAGGACAAGAAATAGGTGGGTATTCACTAAAAGGTGGCTAAGGAAAAGAGTTTTACAAGGAAAGTGCTGCTTTCCTGTGGTCATGGGTTAGGAAATCTTTTCTAGAGAAGCAGTGAAGAATCAGATGCTTCCTTCCTCAAAACACGTCAGAATGGGACTGGAGAGTGAGCCCAGCTGTGTGGCTATTTATGACAACAGTCCAGCTACCTGATGAATTGGAGTAATGTAGTTCAGGAAAGGTAATCCTTCCTTACTGCAGCTAGGGACACCCTGCCCTTACCTGTCCCAATAAACTTCATCCAGCATCCCCCCACTGACCTCTCCTCAGCTCCTGGGGAAATCAAATGCAGTATGTAGTTTAAAAGTTCATGCTTAAGAATCACCATATCAATCATTAGTGGAATAGAAAACAAAAACATACACAATTTGCATGAGTGAGACCTACAAAGTAAAGAAAAATAAGCCAAAGTTAAAAAATGGACTTCCTAATTTTGAGGATGTATATGATCTCACCTATTAAATATGAAAGGTTCCTAAAGATAAGGGAAGACAACGCCAGCACAGGCTGCACACAGAGCAAGAAGTACAAATTAATTTAAAAAAAAAAATCTAGAATTCAAACCAAAAGGCCTTCAGAAGCATTTAAAGCACAAGAGAGCATTTATCATTACAGTTCCCAGTCCTGGATTAAGTTTCCCTGGTTCACTGCATTAGAATTAATCTATGTGCCTACGAACTCCAGAGCCAACTTGCAGAGCCACAGCAGCGTTGTTATATAACCACAGCACTGATAGCACAGGCTGCAGTGCTGGAGCCTGCTTGCTACCCCTCACCAACACCAAAACCAGCAAAGCTGCTGCTGCTCAAATCATTCTCTTGACGACAGATGCCTCAGTAATCCAGACATTCGAGTTCGGATTTGATAAAATGTTTTCTTGAGAGCTGATGTTAAGACTTAAAAGGCCATCGACTGCTGTGGAAGAAGTCCTTAATGTCATCAAGGGAGGGGAGGCAGCTACACAGGAGAACGGCAGAAGGCTTTAAGTGGGAATATGATTACTGTAGAAAAATTATCTGACAAACAAACACAACCCCAGATTATTGCTAGGAATGCTTTTAAGCAATTTAAGTGAAAACTGGTACATCTGCTGTCTATTCAAAAGGTCACCGAGTGCTTATTTCATGATAACACACTCCCAAGAAGATCTTTCAATGAACTCTTAACTTCTGATCTCCAGCATCGCATATCCCTTGTTTTAAAGGCAGCTACCCTCTGAGGTCATGGAAATACAGTTCAGCTGCTGTGCAGCGTTAGATCTGCATGTGGCCATCTTGAACTCTGCTAAGCCAAGGGAACTAAAACAAATTAACAAATTGAAGCCTCAAAATACAAAGTTAGCTCAAAGTCCCTTTGATTTGCTGGTATAAAGATGTTTCTTTGTATCTACCCATGGCTCTTTAAACACATCTCTCACATTTTGCTCTAGCTTCAGTCCTAAGATCTGTTCATCTGTTTAGCACAAAAAGCCAAAAATACTGCTTCCTAAAGTATTTCTAATACCTTCCACTTCTAAGATAAACAAGAACTGCTTAGATGCTTTAGCCTTCATTCCTGTGTGCATGATAGCAGGCTGTGTATATAGGACACTGCAAGTATGTTCAGAAAAGCAAAATGGTGTTTTCAAAACCAGAGACCGTGGCAAAACGAGGCAGCAGAGTCACTGCAGCTCTGTTCCAAGATGACAGCAGAGAACACAGATGTTGGAGCACACAGATTCACTCCACAATCATTTTAATTACATGCCTAGCCAACCAAGCACAGGATACAGGCTAAGCAGCATTAAAAAAAAAAAAAAAAAAAAAAAAAAAAAAAAAAAAAAAAAAAGCTGCACACAAGTATTCTACGAGCATCCTCCTGTGCACTTGATGCTAAGGCCACTCTCGTGCATTAAGTCATCTGTTTTCCAGCAGGCAGGCAGCCGGTTTTGGAAAGGCACTGCTGGCCTCGCTGCGGGGCTGGCGGCATCAAAGGGGACGGTCAGCGGAGCCTGCCCAGGACTGGCACAGCCACGGGGAGCTGCGGGCAGCCGGGGGCTGCGGGCCGGGACGGTGCCCTCGCCGGGGCAGCGCTGGGGCCGGCCGGGGCACCCGCAGCGCCGGCTCCTGCCCCTGCCAGGGGCCGCTCCGCGGTGCGGGTCGGTGGGCACACGGCGGGATGGATGGAAGGTTGAGCTCAGGGATCTTGGAGGGCTTTTCCAACCTCAGTGATCTTATCAGTCTATATAATTTCACCTTCTACCAAGAAGACCTCGGGCTCCGGGCAGGCAGGGGGCAGCTCGGCGTTGCTGCCCATCCCGCCGGGGTTGGTGACCTCCCGAGCGGGACCCCGCACCCCAACCCTGCGGGGTCCCTGCCCCTCCAGCGGCGGCCGGAGCGGGGGGGACGCGGCACCCTCGGCCACCCACCCGGGGAGCCCAGCGGGGCCGCACGCCCCCTCCTCCTCCTCCCTCCAGGCGGGCCGAGCCCCCGCACGGCCCCGGGCAGACCCACCTGCTGGTACTCGGCGTCGTGCGGTCGGAAGTCGGCGGCGGTGAGCTCCCAGCGCAGGCTGAGGTGCGGCAGGCGGTGCAGCAGGCTCACCCACCAGGGCGGCGAGTAGCTCACGCCCGCCATGCCCGCGCCTGCCTCACCCCGACCCGCCGGCCATGGAGCGCCGCCCGCCTCACCCGCGCCGCGGCCGCCGGCCCCTCATGGCCGGGCGTCCCCCCCGCCGCTGCCCGTCCCTCCCTCTCCCTCTTTGTTCGCCCAGAGGCTCCGCCGCCCGCCCCGGCGCCGCCCGCCCGCTCCCATTGGCGCCGCCGCCGCCGCTGCCCCGCCCCGGCCCGGCCCGGCCCGGCCCGGCTCCCCCGGGAGCGCCGCCGGGCCCCGAGCCCCGCCAGGCGCGCTGCACCCCCGCGATTGTTCCCCGACAGATTTCCTGGTGCCGTGGGTCTCACACTGCCCTGCAGTTCTACCAGTGGAAGGTGCGCTTTGGGTTTAGCCTAAAAGCCAGCGGGGTAAAAGCGATTTGTGCCGCACCAACAGTCATAAAGTCGCTTATTGTTGGCTCCTCTCGAGTCCGTCTCAACGCGCAGCCTAAGATCCAGAGGCAGCAAGTTTGTGCCTCCCGGATTCGCGTGGCAAGGGCAGCAACACAGGTGAACATTAAGGAGACGCCTCTCATTGTGTGACAGCACGAGGGAAAAATAATAAAACAACAATTTGAACCGAGTCTTGGAATCTCTGCGAATACCTCAAAAATGAGAGGATATGGCACTTGAAGACATGGTTTAGTAGTGAACATGGTTACGATGCTGGGTTGATGGTTGGACTTTGTGATCTTGGAGGTCTTTTCCAACCTTAATGACTCTGTGGTGCTGGGCACAGGGCCACGTGTGGCAGAGGGTGGGTGTCCACACCCAGCACCAAACCAGATCCTACCCCCCACACCAACACCTCTCCCTCCAAAGTAACCCCAAAGTGGACCCAACCACACTGCAGATCCCAGCCCCTGTGCCACTGACCACACCAATGCCTCCATGCCAGCTGAAGCTTGTTCCCCAGCACTGACTGCCCAGCAGTTGTTTGCCCAAAACTTGGGGGGAAAATTTCTGGAGGTGCTCAGGTGTCTAAAGACATGGATGTGCCTCTTGTGTGATTTCCAAGTCTGCCCTCCACCTGTTCCACAGAGATATGCAGTGCTCTGGTTCAGCTTCCACCCTCTGTAGGCAAAGGTTTGGCCTCATCCAAACCCTGACCCAGAGCCAGTGTGTTGCTTCATCAGCTTGAAGGAACCTACAACTCTCAGCTTGTTTTGATGACATCATAAATCAGAACCTGAATATTTCAGCAATGACAGCATCTAACTGCATAAGTACCACAGAGCTGTGCATGTGGTGGGCTCCCCACAGAAGCACTCACACACCACTTTTCCCAAGGATAAAACTCTGACCCAATGGGGAAGGCTTTTCATTTCTTTCTAAACAGAACAGATAATATTTCTGGGTAAAAGGTAAAAAAGATGAGTATACCTTCTCAGGGGATCACGTCAGAAACAAGTAAGTACATAAACATTCTGGATAATGCTAGGATAGTGAGGTAAAACAGAAAAAATAACAATAAGCAGCAGCTATCCCAAATTAATTCACTTTATCACAAAGATTGTACTGCTCTTGTTGCAACTGAAATGCATAAAGAAATTTGCTGCTTTCTTTTAAAAGGAAGAGAATGAATAATTAAATTTTTGCTGTAAATACGCATCGTGGCCCAGCATTAATGCAGGAGCTCCTAAACTTGGCAGGTCTATTCAGACCATCTCCCAGGCCTTCAGTCTCTCCATCCCTGTGCCCCCATCACAGCCCTGCTGCAGCACACCTCACCCACTGCTGATTGCTCAAAGCATTGTCTTTTAAACACCACTCAACATAATTTGGAGTTGGAAAGAGAAAAAAGGACCATCCAGTCCTCTAACAGACTTCAGGCAAATGATTTCCAGGTCTTGAATGCTTGAGAAACTCTCATCTGTTTAGAATTAGAAACTGTGATGGCCCATGAAAACTTAGAAAATATTGGAATGCTGTGTATCCCACTGGAAAAAAAAAAGGTTAACACCAACAGTTTTTTCTCCTAAAGGGTGGCAATCAGTAGATGTTATGGAGACACTCTTTTTCAAGTGTGATTTTATTCCTTTTCCCAAATGCCACCAGGATTTTGTGCTTTACATTGTCCTGACTGATGCATTTCATAAAAAAGGAGACCAAAAATGCTAAAATGGGCCATTTAACCCCTTAGAGCACATAAGCATATTTCTGCTGATGTTCTGAAAACTTCAATAGCTTTTGACTAGGACAGGATTTTCATATGAGTATTATCAACACAGCTAAAAAAAATCTTATCACTCACAAATAGAATTAAGAGACACGTCAGAGGGTTTAGAGCCATGCACTGTGTGCACAAGTACAAGATACACAAGGGTACAAGATATAAGACCTCAACTCCCTACAGCTTTCTCCAAAAAAGAGTTGATTTTCCTGCAGGAGGACAGCTGAACTTCAGCCAATTTTATTTTCTTCCTTATTACTTTTGCTTTTTTCACAGTGCTGGCAAGGATGGATGGATGGATGGAAGGAGAAGGAATTGTTTCAAGGGCCAATGGTCTAACATATTTCACCTCCAGTTCTAGCAGCCCAAAGACAAGGAGCAGAGAGACCTCGCTGGGAGCAAGAGATCTCTGCCTAAGCCCCTTCTGACACAGAGTTTATGCAGCTTGGCACTAAAACACTCAAGGCTGGAATCTGTCCTGCAGCTGTAACCACAGCCACGAGCCTCTGGATGGACACAAAACCCTCACCAGGCTGCAAGTCCAAGCACCTCTGTCAGCATGTGAGGGACAGGGGATAGAAGATGCAGCCAGGACGCCACACTGAGATCTTGTTTGACAGGGCTGATGTAAATCAAACTGCACAAAACGTTTTGGAAGAAATGACAGGAAAAGCTGGATGCTGTTCCATGGGGGTGGGTGTTTGAGGCGCCCTGTGGGGCTGGGGGTGAGTGGGAAAGGCAGCAGTGCTGGTGTGCATGCCTCCCCTCAGCCTCCTGCTGCTGAGACAACTGGATTAAATTAGAGCAGAATGAGGACTGGGGATTACAGAGAAACAGAGGCATCAACAGTTTTCATTTCTCCCCCACAATTATTTATAATGATATGGGAAAATGAAGAGCAGAATGGATTCAGCAAACGAGAAATAAAAGACAAACCACAGGATCCAGCACTAGCCATACTTTCCATGGCATCTCAGCCCGTTGTGCCACATCACAAAGAAATATCTGCAATTCTGGGATGTTTAGCATCTCTTATTTGATCCTATTCAAGTAACTCTTGAGTACATGACAAGACAGTTATCGAGGCTCTCATGTTTAGATTATAGCAGCCTTTCTTTCCTTCCCACACAAATAGGTACACTCTCTTTTGCCAAAGCCAAATGAACAAACGAGACACTGTCATGACATCCCAGGAATAAAATCTAACAGTAAATCACCCTTGCATGGAAAGCAGTTCTACAGTCGAGCAAAGCAAACTGCAAATGTCAGCTTGTTCACTGGTAATCCTGCTGAAAAGTAACCCAAAGAGCAGTATTAGTGTTTGCTAACTTGCTCTGACAGTGGCTTTGCTAAAGAATCAATGGACAAAATAGACAGATGAGAAGTGCTCCACATTAAAGACAGCAAAGATAAAAAGACTAGTTTAAACAGTATAAACCTCCAAAATAAGGCAGCCAGTGCTGTCCTCCATCCTCCTGAGACAACCAGGCAGTCTACAGAAGCCCTCCAAGAAATGTAGCATTTTTCACTCTTCACAAGCTTCTGATTCCAGACATCCCTACTGCTGAAGGGGTACTGGCAATGAGAGCACCTTTTAAAACAGCAATCTCCTACCCATTTTTTCTGATTCACTATGAAATTAAATAATTCAGCTTTTAATATCATGTGGAGCAAGGAGTCTTCCCCTGACTGTCAAACCTAATATGTGCTCCAAAAGGTTTTAGCCAACAATACAGATTAAAAAAAAAAAAAGGCAAATTTGCACTCCAAGTGCCAGCAGATGGATGAGTTACCCTCTTGAGACAGGGACTAAATTACAGATGGTCATGGAGAGGTCAGGGAGGCAACCAAGCCTCGGCACTCAGCTGCCACTGCTGGGCCACACCTCTGACTCTGCTGCTCCATAAACTCTGCCCTTCCATCCCTCCGTGCCTCTTCCCGCTGAGCTAAGCTGTGCCTCCATTAAAATTACCCTTCCTCTCCTCCCAGGGCTTCCTCTGTAATTTTCTGCTCAAAGTCAAAGGAAATAACAAAGCCAGGGCTGCTCTCCAGCCTCCCCCAGACATCGCTGCCCCCTCCATGCCAGCTCTGTCTCCAGCCTTGCTCTCCCAGCAAAACCAGGGATCTTCCCAGCTGCCTTCTGCTCCCAGCTTGAAGGACTTCCCCTGCGTGGAGGCATCTGCAGGCAGGAACATACATTTGGCTTTTCTTCCTCTGACATCCTGCCAGGGACTTTCAGGTTTACATAAAAAATAGCCACTACCAGGGCCAGCAAAAAAACCTTCCAGCCAACTGAAAGAAATAATAAGTTAATTCTCTCATTTCCAGTCCTGAGGCAATATTCTCTCTCTTTCTCATGTTTTACTGGTCTTTTTAAACTGAGTTCTAGGGGAATGGGTGGAAGATGTGGAAATCCTATTGTAAAAGCACCTGCCCGCTCTTTTCCCCAGAGAGCCACACAGAGAACATTCTATTATTTAGTTAATTGCAAAGAAACAATTACAGAGGAACTTGGCAAACTCTCTCAAATCACAGCAAGACCCACTGCAGTCCAGTAAGTTCAGCAAATTAGCAAATAAGTGAACATAAAAAGGAAAGAATAACACAGCTCAAATTGCACTTTGTTCGTTTGTTTTGTCACTCTTCATTTCTCTTTAATTATTTAAGGTATTTCTTCATAACATTCTGGTACATTTTGTATAATAATGAAGGTTTACTAGCATGGAAAGTGGCTATTAAATATCTGCCGAGAGAGGGAAGAAAACTGCCAATTCTCTGAGTAGATTATAGAGAGCCTGTTCAGGAAAGATTTCCAGGTTAGATAAATAGAAGGTTCTGCCACAATTTGTATAAGTTCCAAATAAGGATTATTGCTCGATAATGGCAATGCAAAGCAATGTTTGTGCAGAACTTTGTAACTTGTACTACAGGCACTCATGGTCAATCCCATTTATAAAAAGCTCTTCTAATTTTCCATGCATGTACCTAGAGGCCATTCAAGCACAGCCCTTTTTTTACAGCAGCCCTGTAACCAAGTGAGAGATTTTACAGTATTTCATCCCTAAAGTCACAGTGCAGCAAAGACTTTCAAGCTGTGTTCCATTGCTGAGGCAGAGGCTCAGCTCTGCAGAGCTGATGGGCTGAGGAGGGGACAGGAATGAGATCCAGGTGTGGGATTGTCTGGCTGACAATGAGGGAGGTAAGACAGCCCTTGGCAATGGACATGATGTCCCTCCTGCTTCTTCCCGGACCATTTTGAGCATCAAGATTTTATGAAACCTCTGTTCACACTACCAGCAACAGAAGCCCTCCAGGGGTTTACGTGGTAGCCAGTGCAATGTGTCTGTGAGGCAAAACCCTCCCCAGGAGAGGGGAGCTGGGACAGCCTGAGCAACACCTTGAGCTGGGACATTGCTTCAGACACAGCTCTGGTGAGGGGAACAACACAAACACTGTCCTGGAAAGCAGGGGGAGTTCAAATGCTCAGATTTGAAAAGGGTAATTGGGAAGCCAGGCAGGGAGGGGCAAGGGGAGCAGGGTGCAGCTTCATCAGTGGATGAGAGCAGAGTGAATTCCTGAGAACACAGCAGCTCTTGCTGTTCAAGGCTGTTCCTTGAGCACAGCAGCAGTGGTTACTGAACACCATGTGTAACCAGTGTGCCAAACACACCAAAACCAGGCAGGCATTGGGAAGGGATGTCAGTGCTGCCTCACTGACCAGCAGAGCAGCACTTCAGCAAACAGAAGGAAACATCAGAGGAACTGATGCAGCAGCTGACCACCAACCATGCCTGAAAATCCTTCCCTGAAAACCTGGAGTCTACTATGGAAATTTTGCTCTTTGCAGGTCTTAATGATGCCCATTGAATGAAACTTTTTTTCTCCCCTTAAAAAGTTTGTATGAGGCAAGCAATTAATTAGCTGACAAACCTACCCAGAGAGATGCTGCAAAGCTTGCAAGAGTCAAGGGCATTCCAACTTCAGCTGCAGACAAATTATGGCTTAATATAACTGAGTGTGAATGTTTAATTGCTTTCAACTGAATTCAAAACCAGTCTGCTCCAAGAAATAATACCAACTTTTTCCATTCATGCCTCATGGATTACCTCTGGTGTTTAAAACTGAAGTTTCTCATAAGAAATCCAGAGAATATGCCAGTAGAGCTGAGAGGAAAGAATATAAAAAGAGCAAAATTTAATTAATAAAATCATCCAACAAAGACTGTCTCATCTTGTACTCTCATAGCTGTTGTAGTCCTACACCAAGGACTCTTCTTGACAGGAGGATGACTGCAGGATTCCCATGTTTTCACAGCAGTTAAAAGGGTCTTCAATTTCCATCAACCAGCAGAAGGCTTCTTTAGGGAGTCCTTAAAGGCTTTTTTCAGTGGACCTGGAAAGGAATGCACATGTCCTAGCTTCTTCCAGAGCTTCACAAACAGCAACAATTACCCAGGTGAAAGGATACAGTGTCAGTAAATTGTTGAACTCTGTAGTCTCCTGCTCTCCCTCAGCTGCTGCCAAACCAATTTTTAAAGCAAAATCCCACCAGCTCTTTCAGTTCCACCAGGTTTTGGTCAGGAACACGGCTCATTCCTGATGGGAAAACCTTGAATCTGCACTAGAAGAAAAGAATTCCACACCTTACATGTTTAAGTTATCTTGTTACTGTCCACGCAGGAAATCAGGGATAAAAGGTCAGCCCAGGTGCAAAGAGAAAACAGGAGTGTGCAGCAGAGGCCAGAGGGGCAATGAAAATACAGCAGTAGCAGAAGAAACACATCAATATTTGGTTATAAACTTTATTTCAAAATTCAACAGTTCAAAGACAATTCATTGCAAGCATTTTAGCTTTTCAAAGATCCCAAAATAAATTATATAAAATACTTGAATAGTTCTAAATATTAAAAGGATCATAAAAATTAATGGTGCTCTCATATGCCAAGATTAATCCTTTTCCATTTTGACTACATTAGAAGTTGCCTGTGCAGGGATTATTTTTAGAGCTATGCAGGAAACAATACAGTTTTTCAGGTTTTGATGCCTCAGTAAAGATTTGCAGGCAAAGGCACTTAAGGGCAAGAAGAGATCAAGAGAGATAAGATCCCATTAAAGTCAGATCTCTGCACTCACACACAATCTCTAACTAACACTGCTGTTAACTGCAGATGGTTTTAAGTCAGAAACATTATTCCATATTGACAGAATGGGAAGTGTGCTTTTACATTACACTGGATACAGGGGAGTTTAATTTTCCTTCAAGACCTTGACACCCCCACAAGGTTTCCGGGGCTTTCTACAGAGGTGTTTTCCAGAAACAGTGTTTGTACAGGGCCTATCTTGGCAGATTTGAGCCACACTGATTTGTACTGTCCTCAGCTCCCTGTTGAGGAAAAATGCCATTTATTAAAAAATTAACTTTTTCTTCCTTCTTTGTGCCACATTTCTTCCCATGGGAAGATTTATAGGAAGATGGATAACCACAGAACCAAGCCTAGTGTCAATCACCACTCACTCCAACACATTCCATCACAGTGGACAACAGAACAACACCCAAGGCTAACACTGTGCAGGCTTCTCTTCCTATTGTACCACACCAAACTCCTGATGTGTAGTGAACACATAATTACCTTCCAAAGTAAGGTATGAGTTTGAAGGCCATCTCAAGGTTAGTATCAGATCTTTGATAGCTGGGAGATAGCATCCCCAAACTTAGAAAGTTTTAGACACATTTTGAATCACCCCAGAGAACGCTTGCTCCTTTTCACCCTGGTTTCTGCCTGGGTCTGGGTCATCCCAAGCTCCAATCTCCCATTAATCCAAGAATTTGTCTATAGACAGCTGCTGGCCATATGCTCAGCTCAAACACAAGGTTTTCTCCTCTGTATCAATTTCCTAATACTCTCATATTGCTCATTACAGCACAGTAAAGTAAAAGAATGTTTTCTTTATTGCATTTGCTGCCTCAGTATCTCCCTATAGGATGACAGGCCAGGCAGGTATTTGGTATCAGCCTTGGTCCTGACACTTTACACACTCTCCCTTTAATGTGTCAGGCCTCATCTCTGGTTACCCTCTGGAGAGATCCATGACACAGTCACAGTTACAGACCTGAAATATTATACACAACAACTCAGTACAGCACTGCTTCTGTTTAGCAAAATAACCCTTCTTCTTCACGTGACTTCCAGAAAAAGAAGGAAACATATCCCAGCTTCTACCAAAGGATTCTATCCCTTTTCTTTTATGTATATTTTTTTATCCTTCCTGCAGATGACAGTCATGTGACCAAAGCACCAGCAGGAAAAATTTACCCAGTGGGAGTGCAAATGACATTCTTCAGACTGCTTTGGGTATGGAGAGCTCCCAAAACTGCCTTTGGAAATAGCACAGGCAGCATTTCCACCGATGGGATTAAATGAAATCAGCTGCATTGTGCTGCAGCCATCCAGTTTCCTCTTTGGCTCTAAGTACTGGCACAAACTGTGATAAGCCTCAGATAGTCTTCATTGAAATCACAGAGCTGAGACAGCCCTGACTTATTGGTATTCTGAGAAACAGTGCTGACTGATTTTTAATTTAGAAAAGGTGATAAAAATCTTATATTTAAGAGTGTGCTTTCTGTTTACTGGAGACTTTATTACTCTTTGATGACAAAGAAACCATTGGTGTTTCCCGAAAACCTTCACCACGTGCTTGTAAAATTAATTTCCCCTTCCAATAAGTATCATGATTTATCTAGCTCACCTTAAAAAAACCCACACACATTTCAATGTCTTTGAAGGATGTTGGTGCAACAGTAGGAACTATCCAGTCAAAAAGTAGAGTTTGCAGAGAAGATTTGGAAAGATCCCCTCTGATGAAATCCTCAGCAGCCCATCAGCTCTTTGGTCTTTTCATGGATAATTACATTGTGAGTGCTTTTTCTGGATGCAGCACTAATTTGTGTTATAATCCAACCTACCACTTCTGCTCCCAAACCAAACTGCCTGGATTAGATATGAGCAATGTAGCCAGGTGAGCATTCCAGACAGTTATATCTCCTGTGTCAAGTATTTTTACACATTAAAAGTTGACCATGAAAAAACACACATAATTTGTGACTTTTTAAGCAGAAAAAACATTCACAAGGGTATCCCTTCACAGCACACTGATGCTATTACACACCTGCCCTGACAAATCCCAAAAGCTGAATATGTCATCAGACATTTCAACACAAAACAGTACTACACATAGCATCATACACACAGAGGAAAAGGTCAATAAATAAGAAAACCCAGCTAATACAGTGGGCCTAGAATAGCCCTATAGCAAAGAAATGGCTTTCTAAAAGCCTTTACAAGGTCTGCACAGACTGTAAATATTCAATGTAAAACTTTTTTAAAAGATATTAAAATATGATAGAGTAAAAAATTTAAATAGTAAAGCACAGATAACAAATACCAGTTTGCATACACGTGCTAAAAACTGGAGTTATGTCATTTACCACTTTCTGATTAAACAAATTCTTTTAGTTGACCTGAAACAAAACTTTGTTTGGAATTAAATATCTTAAGGCTTTATTGCTTTCATTTTAATTTGGCAACTGAATTTATAATCCTTATTAAAAACATGGAAGTGTTTTGGTTGAGTTTTTAAATCCAAACTCTCTGTGTACCAGGAGGGTAAGGTTAAAAGTCAGTCAGTGGCTTTTAGCCATAAAGTCTGCAGAGACAACACATCAAAGAATTACTCATTTGTGGCTGAAATCATGTGAACTGCCATTAAAAAGGGGCTGATATTCACCCTTTTTCCATCTTTGATATGCTTGATCTTGGTACAAATAGTTTTGTTGGTGAACCAAATCATTCAAGCCCACCAGAGCCTGTTAGCAAACCTTAGAAGTGGGTGTAGCTTTTCTTCACCTGCAGCAAGGGAGGGACAACAACATCATCATCGGAGTCCTCGGAGTGAGCCTTGTCCAGGGGCACACAGGGAGCAGAGCAGGACCTGTCTGAAATGATTCCAGCAAAAAAGGTCATCAGCAAACAGCACTGACCAAAACAAACCCCTGGGGCAATTCTCTGAGCCAGGAAGTTTCCAAGCTTACCTGGAGTCATCCAGTGATGGCTGACTCTGATGTTTTTGTGCATGGAGCTATTTCTGTTCCTCTTTAATGAGCCACAGTGCACAGCAAGGGTTGAGCTGACACACTGACCATGCATGAGCTCTCTTATTGCTTTTAAATCTTTGCAAGGGTTACACACATACCAAGTAAAGCCATTTGATACTGAAGCCATTGCAGGTGAAAACCAAATATTTATTAAATGGCCAGAAAAGGAAAAATTGACCCAAGCTTAAGCTACACAAAGAGGTCACAATGAGAACCTGACTCAGATATAGATGGAACAAAGGGAAATAGATGCAAAAAAGGTAGAAGCTCTCAGTCACTGTCTTTAACCCTTATACATGTAAAACACCCAAAATATTGTTTACATGCTGTTCTACTCTAATGATAATAAAAACAGTGAGCACACACCATTGGGTTTTCCCCTTTTTAAAAAAATTGTTTCTTTACTATTTTCCTGGATGTGTTTCTATGCATATCAACCATTCCAATATTTAAAGTTCAGGTTGTGAACAGATATTCCTGATGATTCCAGTAAACACTGGAGAATCAGAGGCATGAAATGAATATATACAAAGTCCCTGACACAGGAAGAGCAGCACCAGCAGCTTATAACCCCTGTGCAAGAGATGTAGGAACTAAATGATGACTGCTATTAATACCTTCCAGCACAATATCCTCCCCTCAGCTATTAATACCTTCTAGCACAATAGTCTTCCTCAGCTCCACTTATTTTTCAGTTTCAAACATAAATTCTCTGAAAAGACTCTCCCAGAGAAGAAAACAAATCAAGACAACCTGTGGTAGAAAGAAGAAACAGGCAAGAAGCTACAGCCTGAGGTTTTGACCTGAACTGGAAGGCACACAGAGAATATTACGTAGGGAGAACAGACCTGCCATGGATCTTGTAGTGAAATAAGAGACTCCTGACACAGGAAAAAAATATCCTGGTATGGAAGAGCAGGCATAGAGACAAAGTGGAAGATGGAATAAAGAAAAGGGACCACAACTGGCCCAGGGATAGGAAAAGAGTGACAGAGCCTGTGAATGGCAAGCGGGATGCAGGGAGGCCATTACATTACATTGACCTCAGCCTAAAGAGCAAGGAAACATAATTTTCTAGTTAAGTGAAAATCTTATCTGCACTAGTCAACAAGCAATGTCAGAGTTTTTCAGGGAGATTTATGAGCACTGGTGATATGGAGGAGAAAAGGGGACTGCCAAAACCAGGCATGATAACCAGAAGAAGCAACTCTAAGAATAAATATATTATACATGAAATAGCTTAATATTATCCAAATCACACTTGATTATATCCGGCTCTCAAGAAAATATGAGATTTTCTTGTCCTCATTTTCAGTTTGATTTCAACTTTATCTTGGTGCTTGTGATGGCTAAGCACTGATATGAGTTAAGGGCTGTATGTAAATTCATTATGATTCCAAAAAGGCCTGAAATGAAGTTAACAGTTGGAGCCAGAGTGGTCAGTAATATGTAAAGGGAAATACTGCCCTTAATCAAGATTGCTGTGCATGCACAGAACATATTCTTCCTTCCTGTCACTCCTCTGACAGAACAAAATAAAACATAACATCAAGTTTCACAGGCTGAATTGTTAATATCTCTTTCATTTCATGGGGAACAGCAGAAATGGCTTTATAAAATCTCCAGGTCCTGAAGACAAGCAAAGCAGCACTGAATAATAAACTTAAAAAAAAAATAAAAATTCTCTTTTCCTAGGAAATACAGAGACATCCAACCTGATGCAAACAATGCTACACCAGGATTATATCCATTCATTCTAGCAGATGTATAAGGTTTTTTAAAACACATTTTCATCTTCCCCATTGTTCTTAAAATAATGCCAAAAGGGGTAGTGAACTGAAATGATTTATTGCAATACAGATATTGTCTGAAAGCTTAAGATCATTTTAAGACCTAGAGGTCATGAAATGCAAGTCTGGACTCGGGACAAATGAAGAAAGAACTTGTTCAACAGCTGCATGATTTAAAGCTGTAAGAATTTGATTGCTTTTAAATCACTCAGCTGCTCAACAAGCTCCTTGTCTCACATCTTTTCCAAGCTGCAGGATGACCACTGAAATCCCAATTTATCATCAAACCCCAATTTTGCCAGTGGATTTTTCTATCAGTCATGAGCTCAGAATGGTGTGGACTTTTAGTTAACTTTAACTTTAGTTTAAGCTACATAAATCCACATGGCAAAAAATCAAACAGATCCCTGAGGGGTTGCATTTACACCACGATGCTCTCCTTCCTTTAGGAGGTTTCTCCTAATTCATTTTTTGGGAGATTTTGGTTAAACACTCCCATGTACCAGGACCTAATGCTTCAGAGAGCTCAGTGCCAGGCAGTCTTTGGGGCAGCTGTGCAGTAACAGAAGCACATCCCCAGTGTGCCTCTCCACAAACCACCTGGATACATTCTCTCCTCATCCCAGAATCTGAAAACATCTCCCACATTGATAAAATCAGCAGCAAACAAAACCTGGTCCGCTCCCAATCACTCCTTTTTGATATTCACCAGGAAAGGACTGCAAGGAAGAAAGTTTGAAAGTATGGTTTCCTCTGTCTCTCTTCCAGTATAAACTATTCCAGACCTTCTTCACTCATCAACTTGTCATCAAAATCTGCAATAAAATTTAGCTTAGGAGACTTCATAGCTAGACAATGACTATGCTCTGCTGGTACTCATATGACTGGGTTTATTGGACTTGCCTCATCTTACACTCCTCTGTGGGTCTTAGAAGGACTAAGCATTTAAGGGATTCTTTCTCTTTGAGTAGAATTTCACAACTGGTTTACCCTGGCTTTAGAGTGAGCATGCCAATAATGACTACTGCAGCAGAGCTCAGGCAAAACCAGGTGCTGCAGCACTATTTTTTCCTGGATACTATCACCAGACATAATTAAAGTCACTCAAAACTCAAACATCATCAGAAGCAAGTACTACCTACTCCTTCACAAAGTAGAACATGCCTCTGAATATGGAACACAGTGAAATTTCTTAAACACATTTTCTTCCACTGAAGTGTTACCTCTGTTTTCACAAGCCCTGCAAATCTGGCTTATTCCCCACCTCCTGTCTTAGAGAAACAGCCTCACTGCTTACAGCATTCTCTGTCTCAGAGCAAGCCTGCAGGGACTGAGAGCTTTTCATTGACAAAAAAACTCAGCCAGTGTTCCTCAGGTCACACTCAAAGTTGCTCCTTCTTTCCCCAACTGGTCCATAAAAGCCTAAAACATCCCACTGTGGACAGAACCAGCCCTTTTCAATTTAACTCCTTTGAAGCTGCATGTCTAAGGCTGTCTTATCTGCAGCATTGTTTTGCCTTTCTTACTCAGAACTTCTAACATCCTCCTAAAAGCCTCTTTGGCTTTAACTCCATCTTCTCATAAACAGCAATAAGGAATCCAAGAAGAAAACCAAATGGCACAAGAGCCATGAAAATGACAGATTTTCTCAGTTTGTATTACAGCAGTACTTGCTGGCAAGGTTATCCAGGACTTCATTTTTCCCCCTACTGCAGCAACTGAAGACTGCTGAAAACACCATGACCAAATGCACATGGCTGCCTAGGATGGCTCTTTCTAGCAGATGTCTGTCTGTCTTCTGCTGAAACTAAGTCAGGTTGGTGCAAATGCTCCCAGCTTGTCTATGGCTAAGGGCCCAAAATGTGATGGGAAGTACCATACTCCAGTTACAGGGCTGAAAAGGAAGCAGAGAGGCAATACAGGGGAACACCATGTTCCCTCAATAATTACCACTTACACCAGAGAGACTTTCCAAACCACAGCTGGGACAAACAGACAAAGCACTGTGAAGAAGCTGGTGCTGAGGCTGTCAGAGCTTTTATTTTTTATGTAGGGAACTGCACGTGCCAGTAGAAGCAACATGTCACCAAATGAAGCCACCCACATGGAGTATAAGGATGCACATGTGTGCGCATATGCAGATGTTCTCTATAAAACTGTGCATGCACCCACTCAAAACACCCAGACTTTTGAACACAGGGGAGGGAGATTACCAGGAAGAGGAGATGTGAGGACTGAAGGTCTCTGGGGTGCTGCTGAGCCTGGTTTCTCCTCTGTGATGGGAACTGCAGGATCAGCTTTCCCACTGGGGGCACTGGGCACAGAGGACCTGCAAAGAGACACACTCAGAGCATGAGGCACAGGACAGTGTTTGCAGTCTCTCTTCACAGGCTGTGCTGAAAAGTTTCTTGTGTCGCTGCTCTATCACCTGCAGAGTGAACCCAGACACTAAACAGAGGTGACAGCCATGTAACTCTCCTTGTAACCATGGCAGCTAACATTAAAAACTTTCAGAGCAGTAAACCCTGGAGAGAAAGGAAGTATTTTTCAAGACAGAGTCACCATAAACCTAAGCAGTAATCAAATCCCTGCACCCTGCCTGAGCTAAGTGACTTGATGCATTCTAGCTTCTCCCTCTTCTTCCCCCACATAACCCTTCACCTGCACATGTCAGGGCTTCAGACTCACACATTAAGCAAACATATCAGCAATCTGTGTGTTACAATAGTAACCTTTCTGTCCCAAAGAGTAATTATTTCACTTTACTTTCACTCACTGCTATGGAAGACAACATGCAGCAGGATATGGGAAGACTCCTGCTGTCACAAAGCTCCTTTTAGTTGCACATCTTTTGAATCTTCTGAGGAACAAGCTCTCCCTTGTCTTTTTTGTAACAATGGCCTTGTTCTCCTTCTCTGCCAAGGGACCCACACTAAAACTCTATTTAAAAAAATACTCCTCTCCTGTAATAAAAATTATTTTGCTATTGCATGTTGCAGAAGTATCTACTCCTGGCTTACCTCTCTTGAAGCAGTTCTGTACGTGCTAAGTGAGCCCTGAAAATGGACTGGATGAATGTCACAATCTCATCTCTCTCCTTGCAATCAGAAGAAGAATTCAAGGAGTCTGACATGGAAGGCAGGCAGGAGTTCTGCAAAGCAATCAGATAAAAGAAAACTGACCTTTTACAGATTGCACAGAAGCTCGACAGAACCTTTCACAACCTTCTTGATTGTGAAACTGGCAGTAGAACAAACATCCCCTTCTTTTGGTCTGCAATTTTTAAGGTTCTGTAAGACTAAATCAGCAGGAAATGCAAATCTGATCATCATATAAGCTTTGAAGCATCAGCATTCAATTAATGAAAGAGCAGACACCTGCAAGGAAAATTCCATTTATTTTCCAGGAAGGAAACCTTTTGAAGATGAAGGAAGTAAGACAACCTTCATAATGGATTTATTTTCTGCTTGTATCAAGCCAAGTATTCAGTCCTCCTACACTGGGCCAGCTTACCAGAATCAAAGAGCATAAAAAGTGCAATCAGATGGACAACCTGGATGGAGAATTACAAATTAACTATAACCTGCTAAAGGTCCAAAGGATATTTGTATACCCTGGCAAATGATTTACAGAAACTGGATGTTTAATTGGTAAGGAGATTTTTTCATACTCAGAACTAAAAAATCTCGAGCAAACTGGACATGAGAGAAGACACCAAGTCTTGGGTTGAGCACGCTTCACCAAAACTCCTTTGCTTTTCAATCCAATAAAAGATGTTTTCCAGATTCTTCTTACTGAACTTTGGTGAAAAAAGTTTTGGTGATTGAGTAGGTAAAGTTTTGAACAGCACTCCAAACTAAAGACTTAGGGTGTGCTATCTGATGGGAGAACCAGGGAAAAAAAAAAAGTGTTTCAGTGTTACAGGCCACAAAGCTGAGACATTACAGCTTTACTTCTACGAAAAAGTGTGAACTACAGAAAGGAAGAAGGCAATGAGCTCAGTATCTTTCTAGAATTACAGTGGTGTTGCCAACCAGCACATTAAAACAATCACCATGTGATTCAACAAATTAAGCCTGGAAATAATGTCCTTTACAGTGCAAGATAAACACACGAGTGATGCTGTGTGACCCATCTGTCCCCACAGTTACCTCAGTGAGAGACTTTGCATCAGGCACCCCAGCGTGCAGCAGCATTTTCTGTCGAGATAAATGTCCTCTGAAGGCTGCCTGGAGCAGAACAACTGCCTGCCATGGAGAGAAGTGGCCATTAGCTCCTCTGGAAGATAACCCACAGACACTGCACCTCCAGGGTCAGCTCTGGGGTTAAATTCCATCTGGGAGGTGCTCAGGACTGATCCTATCAAATGTCAATGAAGTTCTAGCTGCCAGCACCAGCCTGAATTTCACCAACACTGCACCATGCTGCCATGCCCACATTGCATTCTGGCTACCCAGAGGGCTCTGAGATGCTCTGCTGCAATCAGAAACCAAGCCAAGCCTGGCAGACCTTGTGGTGATTGCACTGAATGCAAGGCCTTCCACTCCCCTCACAGATTTTACTGGGTTATAATAAAAAAAAGCATTTAGAACAGCATGTTTGTGTCACATGGTTAGAATAAATTCAAATTTATTTTAATGTTCTGGAAGAAAACAAAGGTAAGATGATACATTGTGCTATTTGAAAAAAGCAGTTTAATTAAAACCCTTCTGCAAAACATTCATCAATAAATGACTTGGTGTGACAAACTTTTCATTATCTTCATAATTCTCACAGACATTTCTCCTTAGCAAAAGCTTTAAATCCTATTTCAAATCTTTCTGAAGACTCATCATAATGAAAATCAAATCAGGATTAGAATTATCTCATTCAGAAAAACATTCCAGTCTGTTGGTATCAGATTTTGTTCAGAATTTGCAGAAGCTTTCACCTTGCAGAAGGTGCCAACTAGGGAAAATTTGAGACCAAAAATTTGAGACCTCTGACAAAATACATGCAACAAAATCAGGATGTCAGAAGGAAGATTATAGCCAGCCTGAAGAACAAATATTGTATTGGCTGTTTGCCCTTTGATACAAATCAAATCTGTTGTTCTGTTTGGTTGGGTGTCATAAACACACTCACCTCATGCAGAGCAATTTCTTCTTTCTGAAATGAAAAATGCCCATGTTAATGCTACAAATACATACAAGTTTTATCTAATAAAGATTTGCCAAATTTTCCCAATAATTGAGACACAGAAAACACCTGTCCCAGTCCCTGCCAAACTCAAACAACATAATCTTTCAAGATGTGTGGACAGATGCTAAAACAAGAGTAAGATTCAGAGGGGGATGTCCTAGCTGTCCCCTGATAGGAGAATCTCACCTTGGTTTTGTACCTCTTCCAGTATCTCTGGATAATTTTGGCTGCTTGTTCTTTCCTGTGATTTTTTTTGTCTGTGGAGACTGGAGGAGCCTGCAAAGGAGAATCTCTAAGTTAGCACAGTAAAGACAGAGCTGTGAGGGGACAGATTACAAATGACTCAGGAAAATCAGCACCAGAGCTCATCCTGCCTGCAGGGCAGGGGGAGGTTGAAGAGGAAACTCTTAGTTCTGAACCCTGCTCATGTTCAGGCTCATCATGGAGATGACTCTGAAACATATCCCTGCCCCCTCTGTGCCCTCAGCAGGGCATGGGAATGGAAAAGTTTCCATTTGCACACACTCCTGTTTTTCTGTGCACTGCTAACTCGCTGCTTTGTGCTCAGAAATGATTTGTATGTTAGCAACAGACTGAGAACAAAAATCAAGTTATCTGATTTTGCAGTTCTTCTCCAGGAAAGACAAGTATTAACTAACCAGGGAGGTCTTTTATGCCTCATCCTGGCAACTGTTGCCCCATAATCATCTCTCTGAGCTTACTGAGACCTGGCTATTGTATGACACCAAGCTTGTATAAGTTGGCATAAATCTACTCTTCTATCTTAATGAAATTAGTTAGAGGAAAAAGGAAGAAACCAAGAATAAAACAAGAATTTGTTCCAAAAATTTCTCCAGAGGTGTGGTTGCATATTCCACCTCTCACCATTTGATCTTTTTAATCTCTAATTATCCCACCCTACTTGTCATACCTCACATGCCAAACAAAAGTTAAATGCAAGTTTAAAAGACTAATTTAATTTGTTGGTGTAAAATTTTAACTAGAGGAACAAGAGATTTTATAGACTCTGAAAAAAACCTCTTGATTCTGTGAAAAGAATTTATTTATAACCTAAACCTGCCAAGCTCCAAGCTTAAGTTTAGCAAATGGATCATGTCATATTAAAAATGACAACCTACTATTAAAATGAGAAATTGGTAGGAACTTAGTGATAATTACAAATAATGGGAACATTTCAATAAATGGATGGCTACTGGCCAAGAATATATATAGTCTGCAGAGGGAAAAAGGAGCTGTTTGTTGGCTGTTTTTAAAGACTCCAGTTATTTGGTATTCAAAACATCCTCTAGCATCTATGAGCCTGTAACACAGAAAAGAATCTACAGAATGACACAGTATATCAGAAACCAGAACCCTCTTAAGCCACTGGACATTTTTATTAGTACTTTTTACAACATGTATTTCAGGGTCTATTTATTTTTAAGTGCAAATCAAAATCCCCAGTAATAATTTCTAACTAGTATTTAGTGAAATGAGATTAACATGGCCACAGTGCCTCTGAATGCAGCTCTGTCAGTGCCCATCCATCTCTGCTGGCCAATTACCTCACCTGGAAGAGGGACAGAAGATTGCAGAGATATCAAATTCAGACATATTGTACAAAACCCCAAACTGATTCCACAGTCACACTTAATACTGTCCAGGACTAACAGATGCACAAATATATTTTAGATAGAATACCTCAGCTCTAGGAAAACTTCATTTGGAAGTGAAGTCCACTTATGGTATTGACATTTTCCTTAATTCTTGACTCAAATATTATGTTCCACCAGCAGCAGAATTAAACCCCCTCAGTTTCCATGATGAGGAGTGTTACATCCTGTAAATCTTCCCATGAAAAAGCACCTCACTTCCATCCTAACAGAAAAGCAAGTATTTTCTGACTGGACAGCTCTTGTGCCCTAAGTGACCACCTGGCCAGCAGAAGAAACACTGAAAGGGGATTTTTATCTTTTGCCAGTCTGCTAGGGACCACATTTACCTGTGCCTCCATTCTTTATCTGACTGTTAACTCCTACAAAACCTCCCTCCTTCTACAAAATCAAACTGAAATTAGGCAATGGCCTAAGATGCTGTAAAAGATAAAAGTAGCCACAAATTTTTTATTTTTTTAAGAATTGGGAAAAGCCCCAAACACTTAAAAGTTTAAGTCTTTTGTAATATTACACTGAGCAAGAAAAAAAAGCAACAGCAATGCAGAGGATTACTAACAGAACAGCTTCAAAAAACTCCCCAAGCTGCAGTGTTAATTATTGAAATAACTTATTTCCAACAAATATTGAGAGATAAACATCATTATCTCTATGATAAGATTTGATGCATCTCTGAAAAAACTCTTAGTTCTTTAGACTACCAGCTCCCTTTGAAATCTATATCAGGCACAAGGAAAAAAAGAAAAACACAAACAAAAATGTAGCTGTACCTTATTAAGATTTTCCACTGTATCTTCTGTCATCTGTATTTTCTCCTCCTCCAGTTTTAACTCCAGTTTCCCTACTTTCTGTCTCAGGTTCTGGATTTCCTCACTATTGTTGGAAAAGCAAAGATATTTATAGCTTATAGAAACTTTCTGTTGACCTTGCTTTGGAAATACTGAACCTATTTCACAACACTTGATTACTTTGGGTTTGTTTTTTAAGGCCAAAGAGAGAAACTGCTCAGGATGATACCTGTTCTCATAGTAACAGACACATAACATCAATTCTCAATCTGTGATAGCACAGCCTTATGTTAAAACTAAGAAGTCTCAAGGTTACTGTGGTAGCCTTGATACTATTATTAATGTATTTTGATCTGTTACAGTTTTATATGTGTCAGTCAAAGTCCTTTCTCAAAAAACAATATTGAAATCATTTTTTGTGCCTCCCTTGCATAGGATTATTACTCACAACTGTACAGAATACAAGGAGTAACTGGAGTGACACAGAGGCAGTGGTCTAGAAACAGGCTAAGGTAAAAAGAGTACAATATTTTCCTAGAGAAAAAAATGTCTGAGCCCAACATAAAAGCTTTTTCCATTTATCTTACGAATTTTTATTATTTTTACTATACTACTTAGTCTTCCACTTCCTCTAAAAGCACCCTATAGAAGTCTTCCCCTAGTAACTTACTCCATCCCTCCACACACTTCTGCTTAAAAGAATCCCCAGCTTCCTGCAGTTCAGATGAACTCCTACACAATTTGAGCCACTTCAAAAGAGAATTGTACTTTAGGAGATTTTTTTTGGGGTTCCAAAAGGATCTATTAATACTAAATGCTTTACCTTAACATTTGCTCTTCTGTGCTTTTTTCTTCCATCTTACTCTGCCACTTCTGCAGCTCCAGCTCCACTTCAGCCTTAGCCTCAAGCAAGTGCTTGATATCTAATCTACAAAGGTACAAGGAAATCTCAGTAATACCTAACACATTCATACTTCCACAAAGTTATTTTTTCTTTAAATTTCTGAATCAGTTGGGTTTTCTCAAAATTGTGAAGTAACTGAATGTTTAATTTTTCCTTTTAAACAAAAAAAAGTGCAAGTACCTATTGCTGAGGAGCAAAACCCCTCCTCATGTGCTTTCACTGTGCATTTTTGTTCAGAGGTGACACAGGAGGCAGAGTGTCACCATCACACCTCCCTGTGGGCATGTCCCTGCTCAGAGTGCTCAGATTAACCTGCCCCAAGGCCCTGACACACCAAACACTCCAGGCAACACAAACTGCAATTCAACCATTTATGGGGAGGACAGAAGCCACAGAGCATTCCTGGGCAGAAGGTAGGTTTAAATGAAGAAGTGGAAGATCAGGACAAAACATGTTGGGGAAAAAAAACAAAACAAAACAAAAAACCATACAAATTTTTACACCACAATACAAAAAAGAAGTGCTGCATAAACATATAACCCTTCAAAGGGTTTTCAGTGTGGTTGGCAGAAAAATAAGCCTTGAAAAATGTGCTAGAAACAAGCAGAAATTCTCATTTTCCATCCTCTGGCTTTTCTTCTTCAGTGTAGTATTATGAAGCAAGCAGGACTAGAAAGCTTTTGAAATAAAAACTGAAAGGATTCTCAAAATTAATATTCTAGTTGAAAATGTGAGTTACTTACTATTACATCATTTCATACCAGGATCAGAAATTATGAAATACTTGACACCTGCAGAACATTCCAGACAAGAGTCACACTTACTCTTTAGTGAGCAGGAGATTCTGAAGAGCCTTCCTATCATTCTTCAATTTCTTCACCAGCCTTTGGAGGCGACAGCATTCCTCACCTAAATGTTGGGATGATGGATGATCCAGGTCCACAGAATGTGAAGGTGACACAGCAAGCACTTGTGATGCCTCACTGTCAGCTAAGGACACCCTGCTGCTCTCCATGGCACACACTTTCTAAGCAGGGTAAATTTACATGGAAAACACACACACAAAAAAAGAAAATTAAACTTAGCGTGAAATTATTTTATTTAGGCCACGAGAAAAGACCAAATGGAGGTTAATTCTAAAATGTGCATCTATATCTATCAAGTGTGATAGAAGAAAAAAGGGAGGGAGGGCTCATGCTACAGGCAGCAGGTTATGTGTGTGAGGCAGAATGCACAGGGCTGAGACGTTGAATGACAACATGCCAAGAGCACAAGACAGTGGTTCTGCATTTTCTGCTCCCAGACAGGTAAGAAAGAAAGCCACTTAGCTATGACCACTTACTTTTTCTAGATCCAAAATCTTCCTCACCAGCCTCTGTCTGCTCCACTCACTATAATCTAAATACAATAACAAAGCTTTAAACATGTAACTACATCCATGGGGCAACATTGTTCTTGGTTTTTGAAACGTCTGTCAAAAGACCATTTAAAGATCTCTGAATGTCAACTTTAAATATTTACCAATGAAAAAATGAGAATGGGTTTCAAATATTTGACTTCTAAACCATTAACCCTGAAATCAATATAAGCCACTCATGTTCACCAGTTTTCAGCTATTGAAAAAGTTTCCTCGACCAATTCCAGTTTAGAATTATCAAGGATAATAACAGAGGAAACACAGATCTGACTGGAGAAATCAGAGATTCCTGAAAGAAAATTCTCATTCCAACCTTGCCACCCCTGAATCTTCACCTTGTAATAACTCCCTAATTTCTACCTTTGTAGGGTCCTGCTGTCACACATCTTTCAGACGTACCCAAATCCCTTGCCCCACTGATTTTCCAGCACATACTTTTTGTTTTACTGTGAGGGGGGGAAGCGCTCAGCACGTGATCCAGGTCCTGCTTCAGCCTGCGATTCTCAGCCTGCATGTCCCTGACGTTCCTGGACAGCCTCAGCACAGCGGCATTCAGGGCCTTCAGTCGTTTTTGGGTGTCTCTGCCCTCTGCACTTGGAAAAGGGATCAAAACCAGAAAGTTAACTTAAAAGCAGAGAACAAAGAAGCAGCATTAAAAAGAGTGGAGCAGTTTCACTATACAAGTCAGATGGCTGAGTCAACAGCTTCAGTTTCCCCATAATAACATTTCTCAATGTTTTTTTTACATGGGGAGTTACTTATTCTTTTCTGGAAAAGCATGCAAAGATCATCTTGCTCAGGCCTTCCACGATTATTTTAATTTGCGTCAAAAAATTTGAAACATTAAAAATTCATTTATTACTTTTACTTCCCCCCCACTCCGTTCTATTTATGCATAAACAAAGGCACTTGTATCAATATTATTTTTCTTATTTTCTGTTTTTTTAGTTAAGTAACCTTATAATGCTTTATCAGCATTCTGTGATCCTGATTTAGAAAACTCTTCAGCCAACTGTGGGACTCCTCAAAAAAACTGTCCAACACAGAGAGCCAGCCTGCAGGCTCTGAATGGCTTTTGTTCACTAGCAAACATTGAGATTGGGGGAGAGATGAAATAACTCTCAAACAAATCCAACACCCAAGTGTATTTTAAGACAACTGGAAATGGTGCTCTACTGTAAAAGAAATTATCCTTGTGTCTATAAACCCCAGAGAGATCTGAAACAGATTTGAAGAATACAGCTAATATGGAAATGAAAAGCATCAGAAATGGGAAAGCCTGTTATGTGTTAAAATGACTTTAAATATACGACAGGGATTTTTAATCTTTTTCTAATAAAGTGGGGAAGAAATCTGAGCTTCTGGATGTGCAAAGTTGTAACGTTTGTTCACAAAACAGACTTAGTGAGATGAAATATATTTTATTTATTGCTATGAGAAAATTCTTATAAACTTACTTTTGGAAATAAAGGCCTGAAGTAACTGACTTAGTTTTGCACAAATGTACTTAGTTTTGCACAAATGTACTTAGTTTTGCACAAATGCCACTGTCAGTGGCATTTGTGCAAATGCCACAGAACAGTTTGTGAAGGAATCTTACATCCTATCCACTGGAATAACTATAAGGTAAAAGGGGAGACAGCCTACAGTTAGCATGTCAAAGAAGGCTGAATTTTTAGCTGATCTCCTTTTTAGAAATTAAAAGGAAATTAAGAAAAAAAACCCAAACAAACAAGGCTGTCCAGATGTTATGGATGACTATCCACACAGCTGTCCCAGACAGGAGGGAAAAAAAAGAGTAAAAAACACAACACAACACACCATTAAAATGGGCTAGTGACAGGAATGATAGAAACCACAACCATTCTACTCAGTGACATTATTTTAGGCTTATCTAAATCCAAAATGAAATCTATTTCAATCCGTTTTGAGGGCTTCAAAAGTTAGTTTCTAGCTAAAACTGGACACTACAGTTTCACATACATATAACCAGACTTCAGTATTAACACTGAAAAAGAGAAGCCAAATGCCAGTCACTTCAGCCAGAACTAACAGAGACAAGCATCATGAAAGAAATACTCTCAAACAACTCTTTCAATATGCCAGAGTCCTGACCTTCAACATGATTTATTATTTCAGTGCTCAGCCTCTCCAGCAGAGACTGACAGTCATGTAATGGAGAGAGACTGCCCTGACCACCACTTTTTGAAGCTATGAATAAATGAGGACAAGGAAGAGACCTGGTGACTCATTTTTACCTGTAAATAAATTAGGTGTGATGGTTTAGAGCCTCAAGAGGCTGGTCACTGCAGACCTGAACCAAAAGACTTTTTTTTTTTAAAGTGACAAAACAAATTGCAGTTTTCAATCCACAAATGACAGTGAATTAGGGAACACAAGCAGAATAAATTATGACCCTAAAGAGCTCTCACATGTTTCTATCAATCTAAATAATTACACTCAATGTTAAGACAGTTGTCTGTACTTAACACCAGGAGGTCAAGTATATTTTGAAGTGGTGTGGTAACGTATTTTACTGTCCTACAAGACACTCTTACCCTTTTTCAGCTCAAATAACACTCAGTTGCAGTTATGCTTTTAATTTCTCCTAGTGGAGCTCTGTCTTGTGCTTTAATGCTTTGACTTTTATTGCCTGTATAAACTGTTCACCCTCACCACCATGCCCACAGTCGCCCACCAGTGACAAGCACTAGTACAAGCTTCTCTGACACGGTTTACTTGGCTGTGTCTCTGTACCAAAGGAAAAGAACGTTTTCTCCAAGAACATTTTCTTTGCAGCACACACTCTAGAGCAAGATGCAGAACTGACTCAAGTGTGAAATGCCAAACATCCAGGGAGTTTGTTTCAATTACCAGTAATGCCAGGATAGGTGTGATTATGAGGGAAGATGTAACAGAGATAAATTTTCAGTGCTATCCTGTACTTTTTAAATAGCTCTGGTATTTTTCCAGATCCACAAAAATGATCTATCTACAAGCAAAAAAATGTGACTAAGACATATTTCAAGGCTGTGAAGCCAACTAAAGCAGTACCAAAAAAGCAAATCCAACAATCTAAATGACAAAAACTGCTCCCATGTAGTAGTTTTCCATCAGTTAAAGCAGGACTCGAGTGCTGTGTCAAACACACGCATGCAAATATTTGCATCAGAAGAATTAAACATACTTTTTCCTTATAGTCTCAGACTTGGCCAGGAGGAGCTGGAGGCGATGAACCTGTGAAATACAGATTCCATTAAGGAGCATTAGCAATGTCAGCTTCCACAGAAACACATTTGTTCATTAGGTGAAAATCAGAACAAGACTCTTTGGGTAGTGGCAGAGTTAATGATGCCATCACTGAAAATCAGGCTGCTGTTAAATTTGCTTTCATCTCAACATTACACTTATAGATGTACAATGGGTTCTTTATTTGCCCTTTTTCATTAACACACTCGACTTATCGAAGGAAAACATTTTTTCAGTACATACAGCTGGAACTGTGAGACTAACTATGAAAACCTGCAACCAATGACAGGTGCTGTTAAGGTACAAGAAACTTATCTTAAACATTCCATTTCCAATTTGACTCAACAACTGGCCAGCTTCCTGTTCTGCATGCACACTGAAGGACCTGCCATACATACCTCTTCATAGTAGGTTTCCATGGCTAACCTCACTTCTTCCAAACTACTGGTTTTCATGTCTTCTTGGAATTCACTGAAAATAGAATAATACAAAAAAGATACCAGTCAGATCAGCAAAGACACTGCAAGCTGGTGGTTCATAATTTTTTTTGTTTATAATTGCCAATACATTCTTGGGAGTTTATTAAAATGTCTTAAGGAATAGAACACAAATGAAAAATAACATGGATTTGCAATTCTCTTTATTAGCTAATCCTCTACCCCCTACCCCGTCAAAGTCATACTTAATAGTGTTGTCTTTCTCCTTGCACTGCTCTTCAAGCTTGACAATCTTCTGCTTTAATCCAGTAGCCACCTACAGAAAGAACAAAGAGCTCATGAGTCCTTGAATAATCTGTCTCTTCACAGAAGTTCTATTCCTGTCTGCCCTGTCTTTATAAATTGTACCCAATCAGATATACCTATTTCTACATATTTCAGTACTTAGTAAATCATACACATCTGCTACCCTATGAAAAAGAGAACACTAATGAAATCAGATGCTGGATTTCATGATGAGTTTAAGAATATGGATATACAACCATAAAATAAAAACAACATTGCCCACTACCTTGCCAACATCAAAGCAGCAAACAATAGGGAGAATGCTGCCTAAACAGACTCGAGGCAATGACAAAGAAAGCTCTCAAAAAAAAAGGTAATTCTAGATCTTTATTACTAACTCCTTAGCTGCTAACAGAGATACAGGTTATGTAATTCCCAAACTGATTATTCTTCCTGACCTAATTTTATTTTGTAGTAGTATTTCACCTTAGCAAGAGGAAAAAGGACAAATGAAAGCAGGAAGTGATGAAGAAACTCTTACCTGTCCATTATCAGTCTTCTTTTCTGACCAAGCTCGAGCCAGCTCAGAGCCCTGCAACAGAAAAAGCAAGTGACCAACTCTGGTCACAATAACTACTTTATTCTACTGCTGGCTCTTTCCACAGAATTTTCCAACCTGCTCAATCCACAGTCCAACAGCTGAAATTCTAAACTCCTTATGCCCTTAACTTTCTATTAGCACATTTCAAGATGTAGGCCTGCACACAGTGACAGCCACAAGAAATTCAGTAAGATTCAAGTCTGACCACAACCACAAATGTTTCTTGTCAGGGCCTGACAAGGCTGCTCTTCTGCCTCCTGGTCAGGTCTCAGGACTGCATGAATGCATCACTCTGCAAGAGGTTAACTCCCTTCTACTTTCAGGCAAAATATTCAGAGAGTGGCCTCCTAATTAGACAGCATTTTTATTTTACCTTCAGAAATTAAAGGTATTTGTGCTAAATGAACTTATTTGTAGTGCATGGCATCATCTTCCTTTGAACTGAGCTGGATTGCTGATCTGAGATCCACAGACCAGAAATCCCTTTACACCACCTCTCATACTCCAGCTCATCACTCCTAGGAGTCACCACTCTATAAACTCCTACTCTTTTGCCCCACTTTTATCCCCCCAAGAAATACCCACCCTGGAAGGATCCAGCAGTTGTTCAATCTGTTTATCCTTTCTATTGTTCTCCTCTTCCAGTCGACGGAGCTTCGTCTTCATTCTGTCTCCCTCATTCTTCTGAGCTTGTATTGTCTAAAAGAGGGAAGAAGAATCTTAACCACATTTCAGAAATAGGAGAAACCAGAGTTTTTCCTATGGAAACACATGGAATGGAATGGAAACACATTTTGATGTCAAAACCAATCCAATTACGATGGTAAAGATGACATGACAAAAGAGGACAGAACAGCCAAAACACAAAACCATCACACTGGACCAGGGCAGACAGCAGGACAGGACAGCTTAGGGAGGAGACAGAGGGAAGATAAAAGGAAAAGGTCTTACAGAAAGGCAGCCTTACACAAACAATCAGCTACAGCCAAGGTATTTGTCTATATGTAACCCCAGAGCTCAACAAGCCCAGTCCTCACCCTTCATACAGTGCACCAGCCTCTACAGAAAGCTCTAACCATATCACCACAGTGAATTTGTCTTTGACAGACATAAGTTTTAGTTTAGCTCTACATTACAAATGCAAAAAATGTGGTGGTTGCCCCAAGTTGTAGAAACCAAAGTATTCTGGATCATTAAGGCCAGGACATGCACAGGAAGGAGCAATGCCAAGACTTTTTCTGTAAATATCAGAGAAACTGTACCTTTTTCAGTTCTATAATTTCATCATACATATCTTCTTTCTCTTTGTAGTCAGGAGTTCCAGGAATGTAGCCTACAGAAAGGGGTATGTAAAGTAAGTAGATCCAAAAGAGGTATTTTTAACCAACCAGAAACTTTGCAGATAAAGAGAAATATCTAGAACAGCACCAAAGTGGAAACTAGGTCTTTTTCCTTTCTTCGAAGAAGAAAAATCAACAAGGAAATTAATTTTAGAAAGGGAGGTGAAATGTAAGTGTTATTGTATGAAACTTCTGCTAGATTTTGCAGCCAATTTTTTCCTAATTACTTCTCTTCTCTGGTGCTATATTAAAATATCCACCTGAAGAAAGATACAAATTTCACAGAAGACTGCAGTCTTCTCATCCCAATAAATCCATTATTTACAAAAGGTTTATAAAAGATGTCTAGAATACATTTTTCTATTTATGCTTAACATGCACAAATATATATCATCCTGTAAAGTTGCCAGAAATTTTGTATCACCAGTAAATGTATAGGTGTCATTTTAAATGGAAGTGGAATTCTAAAGTTTACAGTTCTCCTTTAAGAAAAGCAGAATAAAACTTTGAAAGTTTGCTCTTCTCATAAAACTCATTTGATTTTAATGTCACAACCACATGATAAAACACTTTCTAGAGAAGAAGTAAAAGGAGTCAATTACATAGAATTTCAGGCAAGCAGATGGTTTCTATCAATGGTTCCTAAACTATGTTTTGAAGCCACAATAAATTGTCTACAGCTGTCCCATTGAACCATATTATATTTGCAACATTTTCAGCTGCAAATGCATGGCAATTTGCAAAAGTTTTGAAAGCTAACAGTGATTCATTGCTCAAAAAAATTGGAAATCCCTGCCTTAACCAATTTAGGAATCTCAAAAAGTATCTCATTGATCATATTTTCACACACATATTTTAGTAAACTAAAATGGCTCTTGCTTTTCTTAAGCAATGTGTGTTTTTAGAGGGGAAAAAAATAATTCTGTTTTATCTACCACACCATTATAGAGCTTACCATTACTGGGAGAACGAGCATGTTTTGGCTTTTTCATTCCTAGAGCCTCCTTCAAATATTCTGGAGTGCTACTGGAAACATTCGCTCGCATATGCCCCGTGTCAACATCTGATTTCAGAGCATGGCTCGTTCCTGCCAAGAGAAATGGAACAAAAATGCAAAAATCAGGGATAATTGTGAATTAAATTTCTGGAATTATTCTGAACAAATGCAACATGGAAAGCTCCAGATGCTGTTAATTATTCCCTCTATAAATGCCAATGCTCAATACCAGATAATTCCAACCACCCAAATAAATAAGAGTGAAATTAAATCCTGCGTAACCTTTAATCAAAGACGAATCTACTTTTTAGTAGTTTATATGTTAAGCTGTCCACAACAATGCATTTCATCCATAAATGCAAACAATATTTCTATACTAATACCTTGTTTCAGACATCCCAGCCACATGTGCCTTGAGTTTTCAACAGCTGCATTCTCAAAGCAAGCACTGCCTGTTCCCTGCAGAGATCTCCAAGCTGCAGCTTTTTTAGGATACAGTTGTGTGCTTGAGCTGTAGGGAGACTCTAGAGCAAAAGAAAATATTTCAGTGCTGCCTTCAAAAGCTCAAGGTTACTAAAATTCTTGTTGTCTTGTTCTTCAAAGTTTCCAGACTCAATCCTGTTACTTGTAAAAATAGAATTTAACAGCATATTCCATATTGGCTTACACAGAGCAATGGAACAGGCACATAACAAGCCCCCAAAACCCAAAGAACTCCACTGTAAATAAAAAAATACAGTTCCAAAAAGTGAAGAGCCTTAGAAAAAGGCAGAGTGACAGCAGTATGACTCAACACATGTGGAAATATTTATGTGTACAGTTTGTTTAGGTATCTTTAAGATACCTGCACATCTAAATGTTGTTATAAACAACACTTTAGGGTAAAGCCTTCTTTGAAATATTCACTAGAAGCCTGTGAAGGAAGGTAAATGGGAAAGCATAGCAAAAAAACACAAACCCCAGAAATAAAGGACAAACCCAATGTTAAAACTGTGGATCTAACAATAATAACAACATTGTACTGTGAAAAAAAACCAAAAAACAAAGCAATCCATCACAACATATGAAACAGAATCACTAAATCCACACACAGAAATCTATGACTGGATGGTAGAGAACTCCACTAATTCCAGAGTCTCTCTACACAACAAGTAACAGGATTTCTCCAAAAAGACAAGAAGAAAAACAAATTCAGAATGGTTGCCATCAGAAGGCATGACATGAGAAAAAAGCAGATTATGCTGGAGAATCAAGATTTACAACCAACCCATAAATGTCAATATTTTAGTCTATACAAGCTGGACTTCACAGGTTACAGAACAGATTTCAAACAGGTGTGCTCTGCACACAGCAGTGAATATTTCTGCAGAGAATAACAAGATGTTGTCTCAAATAAAGCTCCCAGTTCCTGTATCCCGCAAACATACCAGGTTTTGCAATTTCAGCATAAAAAGTTTTGGAACACTTACTTGGTGACTTCGGAGGCTTGTGAAAAACCTTTTTCTTTAACTTCTGAAAGAGAAATGGATATTCTTTTCTGTACTGAAAATACTCAGCTCTTAAGATTTCATCATATAATCTCAAAATTGCCTTCGATTTCCCATTTTCTATGAAGATCCTTTGTTCTAATAAGACAAAACCTTTTCTATAGAAAAGAAAAATAATAACATTAAGCATATGCAGATTTGGGCACAGCAATGGTGGCCAGAATTAAGGTGGTGCCAACTGAAGTCTGATTATACAGATAAATTACCAATTCTTGCTCAGAGCATGAGAACATGAGTAGCATCAAATTCAAGATGATCCCAGAGTAGAGGCTGATCTGTAGAACCTTTTAGTTAAAGGAATTCTTCAATTCCATTACAGCTTAAGTAATGTCTAAAAAGATTACTTAAGCCCTCAACTTGATAGAACAGCAAAATAAAGCCAACACCATTTGCAGCCCCAGTGCTGAGAATGTGGAAGCCAGAATTACACCTGAAATGAGAGGTTTGTGACCCAAGCCCACTGCAGTGCCACTGCTCACTCTCCTCTCTGAGGGGTGCTTGGTGAGCAGGAGGCACCACACAGGTGAGCAGGAACTCCTGAGGGGTTTTGGGGCATTAATCCAAACTCACCATGGCTGTGTCTGACTCACAGGTTATCACAGACAGGCTCTCATCTCCCTGGGAAGCACAAGACAGGACATTTGCTACTGAACAACTGCTTGTAATACACATCCAGGAAACTTCAACAGTTCAACAGAGCTGGAGCACAATAAATTCAAACTGTGAGCAAAGCCTCTGTTTCTCTTCCATTGCATTGCTAAAATGTCAATTGTTTAAGACAAAAATAAGCCATTTTTCAAAAACACTAAAGCCACTGGAAGATGGTGGGGCTCTTGCTGCAAAAGCCAGCATCATTTGCTCTAACACAAATAGTTTTGGGATGTTGTGAAGGTCACTTCAGAAATGAACCATCACAGAATGCTCTGGGTTGGAAGGGACCCGAAAGATCATCCAGTTTCAAGCCCTGTGCCATGAGCAGGGACACTTTGCACTGGAGTCAGAGACTTGGCACTGCACCAGCTGAACCTGCAGCTGCCTCTGCATGAATTTCTCCACCATTTATGCTGCAACTCGCTCAGTTCTTCCCTTCCTCCCTCACCTGTGCTACCCCTGCTATGCTACGGGATTGTTCAGTTCCTGTATTGAAATGGAAACGTGGTCAGGCCAAGGGAAGAAACCCCAAATGCAAGGAAGATGACAGATTCCGCTCCCTCTCAAATGTAAGCACATCCACAGATGAAGGAAAATTTCCACTTAGCTTCCAAATTATCTGGATGCTGCCCTCACAGAAAGAACTTTTTCACTTGCTGCTGACTCTGTGGCACTCAGCACCAATCTTTGGACAGATGCTGATCTGTGCCTGTAAGAGGCAGGGGAGGGGATGAAGTACTTTTGGAAACCCTGGCTGGCAGAACAGGAGCAAGGACAGACAACAGAGCAGGTTAAAGAGCCTGCCATGCTGGCTGAGAGCAGGCAGGGATGTGTCCTCACACACCAAGCCATGCAGTTTTTCATTTCCTGAGGCAATGCTCCTTGCAGCACACTGATTAATTTTTTTATTTTAAGGCGTCTCATTCTGAAATATCTCCCTCCCTAACTGCAGCTATCATGTTTGGAATCAGACAATGTGCAGACTGCCCAGCTTTGATAAATGGTAACAACTAAACGTTGGCCAGGATACAAAGATGCAGTGACAGCCCCAGCACTATTGCTCGGTAACCTTCAGCATCAGGCAACAACAGAACCTGGGGGCTCCCAAAGGGGCTCAAAACCTCCAGCTGCCTGCTGAGGGGGTGGGAAACAAATGCCAACAGAGAACCACAGAACTATCTAGGTTGGAAAAGCCCTCCAAGAGCACCGAGTCCAACCTCTGACCCAACACCACCTTGCCAACCAGACCATGGCACCGAGTGCCACGTCCAGCATTCTTTATTTTCAACACCTCCAGGGATGGTAAATCCACCACTTCCCTGAGCAGCCGTTTCCAATATCTAATCACTCTTTATGTGAAGAAATTCTTCCTAACGTCCAACCTAAACCTTCCTTAGCACAGCTTGAGACTTTGTCAGGTCTGTGCCGTGCTGCGGGGCAGCCACAGGCAGAGCCCAGAGACCCGCGGGCTGGAGAAGGCAGAAGCCATCCCACTCCCCCTCCGAGCCCTCGTCTCGCCATCCTGGCAAGCCCGGGGGTGCCCCAAAGTTTTGCCCCGGCCGCGCCGGAGCGTTCCTGAGCCGAGCCCGGGCCGAAGCAGGTCTAGACCCGGGGCCTTCTCCTCCTCCCCGCCGCTCACTCCTTACCAGCTCCCCCTCCGCGGCCGCCTCGCCGGCCCCCAGGGCCATGGTGGGAGAGCAGAGGGAAGGCCTCACGGGGCGGCGGGGCCGCGGGGGCCCCCTCGGGCCGAGGCTGCCCGCCCGGGCCTGGGGGCGGCCATCGCCCCCCGGCGGCACTTCCGGGTCGCGGTAACCATGGCAACCGCCAGCGGCCCGCGCTGGGGACGCATGCGCAGAGCGGCGGCGCGCCTGCGGGCAGTGCCGGGGGAGGGCTCGGCCTGGCCGCGGAGCGCGGGTGACACCAAGCGGCCCCGCGGGGAGCGAAACCCCAGCGGGCGGCGGAGCGGCTTCTGCGAGGGCTTCGCCCCACTGCCAGCACGGGAGTTGCTGCCTGAGAGAGCCGGGATAACTGCGGGCGGGGCGCAACTCCATCCCGCGCACCGCCGGTACGCTCCCGCAGCCACCGCTGCCCCTGGAGCGCGCCGGGGTCACGCCCCCTGACCGGCCGTTGGCCACGCCCCCTTTGCGACACTCGCGGTGCGGCCGGGCCGGCCCGGCTCGGTCCCGGTGATCCCGGTCCCGGTCCCGGTGCTGGTCCCGGTGGTCCCGGTGATCCCGGTCCCGGTCCCGGTGATCCCGGTGGTCCCAGCCATGTGTGACCCCCAGTCCCGCTTCGTGGCCCGGGCCCGCCGCCGCTTCGCCATGACCCGCGAGTGCGCCGTGCTGCTGCCCGGAGTCTGCGCCGCCCTGGCCGACCCGCGGCAGCCCGGCCTCGACGACACCTGCCTGGAGAAGCTGCTGGACTGGTTCCGCAGCCTGACGTGGTTCGGTGAGTGCCGGGGGCCGCTCCGAGGCGAGCGGAGGTCCATGACGGGATCGCAGAATAGTGCGGGTTGGAAGGGACCTCCGAGATCATCCAGTGCAGCCCCTGCCAAGGCTGGGTCACCTGGAGCAGTGACACGGGCCAGGTGGGATTTGAATGTATCCACAACAATCTGAGGTGCTGTGACACCTCAAAATGCTGTGGGTGCACCCGAGTTCATCAGTTGTAGCAGTTGGCAGGGCTTAGCTCAGCTCAGGGAACCACTTGAATGAGGCAGGACAGTCCTGGTAGTGAGCTGGTGTTTTCTGGCCTCTCCTGGGCAGATCCCACTGTGGAGCTGGTGCGGGACAACCCGTGTGTGACAGAGCTCATCAGCTCCGTGCTGGCCCTGCCGGACCCCAGCCCCAGCATCCTGGCCTTCACCCTGCAGTTAGCCGGGATCCTCGCCTCCTCCGAAAGCCGCTTCCAGCTCCTGCAGGTGAGTCAGGCACCCAGGTACCTGCTGCTGTGTGTCTGCTCCTTCTCTATGGACAGCCCCTAAAAACTGTCCATACATGTTCTGCTTAGTAAATTTAGGGCTTACATGGAACAACTCGGCAAGAGTGATTCGACGGCAAAGAGCTACAATCACCATTCCTGTTCCATTCTCATGTACAGCTGTTTCTCACTTCTGTGTCACCACAACGGGACTGTGAATGCTCATGTGTAGTGCTTCCATTTTTAGTTTAAAAGAGTGTATGGGGTAACCCAGCTCTGGGTTAGACTCGATGATCTTGAAGGTCTCTTCCAGCCTAGTCATTCTGTGAACATTACTTCACAGCAGTCACTGCACAGTACTGTATCCCAGGACAGATCCTGTAGATTTACACTGCACTAACAGATGTTGCTTTCCCTCCGTAGTAGCTTGACAGGAAAGTTTTGATTCCCTGCAAAAACAAGGGAGCTTTTTAAAGCTGTGCTTCCTGCACCAGGATACATTTTAGTACAAAACCCAAAAGGCTTCATTCAGAGAAGAGATGTGTGCAGGTATATAGATCAGTCTGATGGAACTGATAAACATAAGTTGTCCTTTAGCACCTGCAAACAAAACACTTGGTTTTGAACACTAGTTCATCCATATGTTGCGTTTAAGCGTGAGATTCTGAAAATTGCCCATTTTAGTGATACTTGTAGCAAGAGGAGGTTTCGCTGCAGTACTGATACTCTTGACTGGGGCAGAGCAGCCCTTTTGCTCTCTGTTTACTCCGTGTTCTGCCCTGCCTCAGCAGGAGAAGCTGCTGGGGAGGCTCTTTGGCCGGGAGGGGCCCCGGGGCGGCGCGGCGTGGGAGGACGCGTCGGTGCGCAGCGCCTGGCTGAAGGGAGTGCACAGCATGCTCCACCACCTGCCTGCCCTGCACTGCCTCTGCTCCACGGGTGAGTGCTGCTGGGGCTGCCATCCCCCCGCTCTGCTGTGTCCCTGGTGCTCAGGTGGCAAGTGAGCAAGATGGGAGTCTTTGTTTAGTTAAGGTTAAAGTAAGCCATTTGTCAAAACAAAGTCGTTGAAAGATGTTGGTTAAGTTAGCTAAGCATTAAGTTAACTTTTAAGTTAGTTATGCTATTAATTTTTTCCTCCAAACACTGAAGGTGTTTTCTCCTCTTTTTAGAGGCGAAAGAATCTTATAAAATTGCCCTTATAAAATTAAAAACTATCTGTATTCTTATTTGTAACTCCTACCGAAGGGTACATTTCAACATGATTTTAGTGCAGAAAAGCTAAATGGAGGCTCATTTATCTCTTTGTGCTTGCACACATTTGCAATCCTGTTGTTATGGAGGTATGTAAATTATGCTGTTAACACCAATTTTAGATCCCATGTACAGAGGGGCCTAAAAGACTGGACTGGTATTAAAGTGCAGCACATGCTGCTGTCCATGTGATGGAAAAGTGGTATTGATACTGCTGTTCATGTTTTTCCTACTGGTTATGTCCAGAGATGGTACAGGCTCTGTCCATAAATACACATTGAGTGTGCTGTCAACTCTCCTAATGTTACTGATGTTTACTGAAGTCTGATCCTGAGTTCTTAAACCCCTGAGGATCTAAAACAATTTTATTTTCTTCTATTTGCTTGTTCTTAAGAACTGGCTGACTTTGAGTAGAGACTACAAAATAAAGTATAAGAAAACCCCATCACCACCATTTAAAGCTGTGTGGTACCTGAATTAGTGTCACAACTGGATGTTTGTTGCTCCAGTGACTTGTTTTATTTTCCCACAGGAGGCATGGATGTGATCTTCACTCTGCAAGGGGATCCCAGCCTGTTTGTGGCTTCAGCTGCCAGCCAGCTCCTGGTGCACATGCTCACCTTCTCCGTAGACTCTGAAACACCAAAAGCTCTCAGTACCGAGGACTGTGACTGGCCACCATGTGCCCAGATGATTGTAAACCACATAAAAGAGTCACTTCAGTCCAGCTCTACCTCTGACATCGAGCAGTCACTGAAGCTGTTGAGCAGTTTGTTTGGCAGTTGTTTTGGCAGTTGTTATGCTGCATGGACTGAAGTTCTTTGGTTAGACATAGCAAAGCACATAGAATCCTTTCTGCTGGAGGAGACTCTTCAAGCACAGCCCGTGCTGGCAAGTCTTTTGCTTAACGTGGCACGGTAAAGCTCTTGTGGCAGCTTGGAGGTTGTGCTGAGATAGATCTGCTTGCCACCATGGGACAGGTTACACTTACACTTCTCTCTTCTCAGATCCCCTGTGTTTTGTGGCACTGAAGGCAGCTTTTGGGCATTAGTAACTTCTGCTCTGGAACACTTAACCCCAGTACAAGCAGCTCCTCTGGCAGTGGGACTTTTGAAGCTCTGCAAATGGTAGGACTTAATGCAATGATATTTCTGCACTGTGCAGGTGTTTCTGCTCCATAATTCCTCTTTAGGTAGTGAAGAAGCAGCAGGAAATCATCAGAAGAATACAGCACACACAGATACTGAATTACAGGCTGAGTAACACTGTTGTTCCAAGATAGAAGGACACTTTTGTTAACAGGATATGCCTCTCTCTCCCAGCCTCCTTACACAGGATCCCACTCTGTATTTGCATAGCTGCTTCTAAATTCCAGAGTAATTTCTCCTCTGATTTCAGTTGGCAAGGGGACCTTGAAAGATGGCTCAGATTGTGATACTGCTTTTGTTGCTCTGTCATTGCTGGCTTGTTTAAAAGCCTGTGTGAAAATCATTATCCTGCTCAGCATTTAGGGGCAGGTATTTGGGAAGGAATTGAAGTTTACTTGTGTTGGTAACTGCTGTTTCCTCCTTGAAGCCCACAAGATGTCAGGATTCAGGCACTGACTGTTCTGCTTCAGCCAATGGACTGTATTTTGAGAGCAGCCTCCCAGCCTCTGGAATGTGCAGGTACAGTTGTGACAGAAAAGTTAGAGGCCAGTCTCTGCTTGCCAGTATTTTAAGTGCCTGGTGCAGCCAAAACTGGAGGAAAAAGAGTAGGAGAAGTCAAGGACAGTAGCAGTGTTTGTGGTAAATCCTTCTGCCAGTTGCATTTGAAGGCATATTCATACTACATCAGCTGAATATCTTGGTTAACTTTAAAAATCACAGCCTTTTCTATTCATTGACAACCTGAGCTCTTATTTTCTTTAATCTAGGTTTGCTGGATGAGTCTGTCAGTGATCCTGTCACTGTTGAAAGTCTTCTGTCCTCCAAGACATCTTGTGCCGGTCTCCTGTGTCAGACACTCGCTCACCTGGAGAAGCTGCTGTCTCTGGTAACATTCAGAGAGGGAAAAAAAGAGCCTGGGAATCAAACTGGTCCTTGAAAGACAGTGTTAAGATCATTGCAAACTTTTTCAGTAGAGCATAACAGAATGTGGAGAGGAGTTGGCAGTGAGGGTTTCCATAGTTTAAGGAAATTTAACACAGTAGGCTCTAAACAGGAAAACAGAGGGATACTGAGACTCCTAAAGAGGGACTGCACTTAAGTTTTAAGTTTGTCTTGATGAGCTTTGTTACCATACCTTACTTGTATTACAGTTATTGATCCTGAGAAGAAACACAAATTGAACTGCTTTCCCAGGCAGTCAGAAGAATCTCCTTCCATCTGTGCAGTAGTTCTTGGAAGACAGGAGTATCATTTATTTGTAGCTATTGACATTGTAGTACCTTAAGAACCCACTAGAAGTTGCAATTTTTTGCTGCCTTCTGACCTGAAACTGCTCTGTACTTGAGACTGTTGCTGGAAACTCTTTCCTTTCTCACCCATTAGAAACATTTAATAGTGGATTTACCCAGTGTGTCTTTGCTGCACTCTCTCATGACAATATTACAACTCTGCAATGGCTTCCTGAGCCCAGCTTCTCCCCTGGGAAGCACAATAAGCCGTAATTTGATCAATTCCTTCAGAGTGCAAAAGTCAGCTCTTGATGTCCTTGCAGCACTCTCAGAGAAAAAAGGTGAGTTCATCTTTTCTTTCTTATTTTACAATTCTGTGTCTTTGTGTATTTCAGCAGGGATATGGCTGCTCCATCTCTCATTGTTGGTCCTTTGGGTTTATTTTCTCTGTTTCAGACTGTGACACTCTCATAGGAAGTTTATTTGATGTCCTTCTGGCATATCTGCAGAGTCCAAACACCAACCCTACTGTGAGTATAGAACTAGGGAGAGATCCAGGTCTATTAGCTTGCCCCAGTGGGGTGTAATTCTGATAAAGGGTCTGACTGCAGTTGTTTCTTAGCCCACTTTGTATTAGAATATGTAGGACACTTGTCTTGTCCTGGGTGGCTTGCAGAAAATAGCTAAAATTGTAATGAGCAAATAACTGACCAGTACATTGAGAGTTCTTGAGAAGACAGGAGTCATCATGTCTAAGAGTAGCACTGACATACTCAACTTGACATGGTCATGAAATACTGAATTCTTTTTATTAAGGGGATTTGGTTTTTTGCTTTATTTTGTTTGAATTACTCTGATGGCAGCTGCAAACCCAAAGCTGGAGGCACTAGAACTTCATAATGCTAAGCTGAACACATGGATTTTCTAGGTGTTCATTAGAAATTATATTTAAGCACCATTTTTTGTGCCTGGCTTCTGAGTAAGGAAGCATATGCACTTTTTTATTCTGATAATTTCTCTGTAAGTTTGAGGCTAAAATTAATTTTACCTTTAAAGGCATAAAGGCAACACTGCTTCATCCTGTAGTAAAGTCAATCTGATTTACATTGCTTCAGGTTCTAAAGAAAACCTTTCAAGCTACATCCAAGTGGTTGGTGCACTTGCAGGAACTGTCCTCCTCCAGCAGTCAGTGGCAACAAACAGAGAAGATTTTGGAAGGTAATGAAGCTGTTACAGCTGGGACAAACAGCAGCTAGTGGCACACATGAAATCTGCTCCTGCCTACCTTTCCTGCTCAAAGCACTGGATTCACTTGTTCACAATCCTGTTGAATTTATGTTTAGCTGCCCAAATAGTGCTTTGCAGAACTCTAGAAGAAGCATCCAGCAGCAGCAAAAGGGATTGTATCAGATGAAATGATGTAGAGGTTGTACAGTGAGTGTTTCAGTAAGGCTTGTTGCCTTTCATGTCCTTTCAGGTTTGTCATTTGCCTTTTACAGATGTGTTTGTGGTGCTGCAGAAACGTTTGTGCAGTCCTTGCTGGGAAGTAAGAGATTCTTCCCTGGAGTTCCTCACTTCCATGGTTAAGTGCTTGAGAGGTAGGTGCAAAGATTTACCAGTTCAGATTTGAGGAGTATTTCTTTTAATGCTGTGAAAGTCAGTTGGGCTGGTGAAGCATCTTCTGACCTGTAACTGAGGGCTGAGAAAAGAAAGAAGTGTCAAGATTTTTATCTTAGATCATGATCAAAATCTGACAAAAACATTAATAAACTTAACCTGCTTTTTCTGTCAAACTCAGATTGCTGTACCTGCCTTAATGGCAATTTTGGTGAGTTAAACTGAGGGATGTTGAGACATGTCTGTCAAGGCAGGTGACAGTGCTTAATGGCAGATAATACTTCTGGCTTTCAGTTTGCTCTGCACTGGAGTCTGGTTTCTTTCAACAGGCTGGGGGCTGGCCTTTAGGAGGCTAAAAGCCTAGACCTGCTTTATATGCTTGGGAATAATTACTGATTTTCTACTGTACTGATAGCTCGGGCTTTGCAGGAGGTAGCACTGAGGCAATGCTGGTTTTCCTACGGTAGCTCTGCAGTGTTGGAAGGCAGGGGAATTTTGCAAATGCTGTTGTCCCCAGGTCACAAAGGAAGTATCTAACATGCTCAGCTGCATTAGCACTTTACCCTGCAGCCCTCTCAGTACAGTTACTTTTGTTTTCTCTGCTGTATGCTTGACAATAGGAAAGGAAGACTACTTCTTCCTTTAAGCAAAGGCATAAATTTGATGAGGCTGGAGCCATGTCCCCACTTGCCTGCAGAAAGTTTTTTCTTGCTGTGAAAACAACTCTAAGTGCAATTTTCCAAGTTCCAGTGTCTGTCAGGGCTTGACTAAAAGCTGCTGGGAGAGGGGGAGCCTGACACAGAGCATCTGCCTGGTCCCTGCAGCAGCTCCTCTCCCTGGCAGCTGTCCCTGCAGGCAGCGGCCATCCTTGTATGAGGCAAAGGACTGTTTGCATTGGAAACAGCTTCATGCTCAGAGGGAATAAAGTCTCACTTCTTTGGGTTGCTGTCTTGTTTACAGAGCAGAAGGAGTTCAGGCAGTGTCTCCTGTCCTCAGAGGTGCTGAGGCTCACAGAAAACCTGCTGGAGGACCCAGAGAGCTACGTGCGAGCGAGCGCCGTGACTGCGCTGGGACACCTGGCCCTCATTACTTGCTTTGCTCCAGAGTCACCTGTCATAGGCAATCTATATAACAAAGAGGTAGAATAACCTTTCCTGCATGAGCAGAATTCCCAACAGTTTGCTGCTGTACTGCTTATAACTTTCTTCACAAGTTGTCTGCTCATGCAGGCAGATTGCACAACCAGTAATGAGAAGATTTTTCACCTCTGCTGGTTTTTTTGCGTGTTCCTCCACTCACTGAGCTTTCTCTTCTGTCTTTTTGCATCTAGAGCATCGTAGCAAAACTTCAGGAAATCTTGTCAACAGACTCAGAGGGCTTTCCTAGGAGGGCTGTGATCAGCACCTTCACCAAGTGGCTGAGAGAAGGCTGCACAGGTCAGCTGGAAGATACAGAACAGTTTGTCTCTAGAGTCATCCAGACTGTGGAGCATGACTTAGACTGGGAAGTCAGACTTGGTGGTTTGGAGCTGGTTGAAGTTTTCTGTAGTCAGACCATTTGCCAGCTGTCCCAGTGTCCCTATGCTCCTGTCTCCTCTGCACTCAAAAATTCCACCCCTCAGAACGAGCTGCTGCAGGTGTTCTGTCGAGCAAAGCTGTTTGGGTTTTTGTTTGGCTCTTTGTGTGACTGTGACAAACCCGTGGGGCAGAGAGCCTGTGATGTGCTGCTTGGCTTGAGAGGTCATTTCTACCCCGTGAGTACTTTGGAGAATCCACAGGAGATTGAAGATTCACCTGCAGGACGTGGCATTGCCTGGTTACAGAGGACACTGAGACAGGGTTCTCTGGCTCAGAATTTCCCCACAGATGGTGGTGTCGGGGTGAATTTCCAAGATCCGGAGAGCATGATGTTAGCTTTGGGTGCAATAGACTTACTGGAGCTGCATGATGAGCTAAATAAAAGCAGTGACCATGTGGAAGAAAGCCCTCAGTCCCTCTTACAGGACATCCTTGCTACTCTGGGGACCACAGAGGATAATGAGGTTGACTGTTACTGAACACAGCTTTTGCTCTGAGGGAGGAGTGCTCAAGCAGTTTTCTTCTGGAGGAGAAGGATGGTTTTGTCAGCTGTTAAATGGGTTAGAAAATCTCTGCTTTAACTCTGATGATATTTTTTTTTTTGTTAAAAAGTGTAGTTTCTAATAAACTGTTGTTTCTTTTTCAAAGTAAAAACATTAAGAATGGCATTTGTTCCTTTTTTAAAAATTTGTTGTCTTTTAAGAAAGCACTGGACCATGCCTACATAAGGAAGCATTTAAAAAAACACAAGAGTGACTGAAAACAAGCTGTTGCAGGCTCCTTTTGGAGCCAAAGTAGCTAAAACTGATGGAGACTGGTTTTAAGGAACATTTGCTTTAACCTTTTTGTATTTATTCTATAAACAGAGCTCTCAGCTTCCCTTGTGCATTTTGAGATCTAGAGCAGAAAGTGGCATTTAAGGAGTCAAAAGCTGATCATCCTTGGCAGTACAAATTTTCTCCTATAGATCACAGACTTGTTTGATCTCAGCAGTGACACCAACATGCTGACTTTGGTTTTAATTGAAGCCAGAAGCAAGTCCATTTTTTTTTTTGTGGATATATTTTTTTAAAAGTGCTTGTTGAAAAAAAAGTACTCCGTTTCTAACTTTTTAGAGAAACTTACACTTAAAGCTTTTGCAAGATAAATTTAATCTTGGTAATCTTGATTAGCTTTGGTAACAATTAGAAACCAGCAGACATAGTGTGAATGGTAACATGATTTTCTGAGAAAAAATTGCCAGTTTTTAAAAACTTGGCAAGAGTGCAGTTTGCAACTTGTTCCAGTATCTTGCCATGTGCTATAAGAAGCTCTTTGCAACCTAGAAAAAGCCCCAAAACAAACAGTACCTTTAGCAGTAGATCAAACCATGGTGGGTTCTTTTTCTGCAGTTGTTACTGAGCATCCTTTATCCTCCTGCAGCCTGTGGAGAGGCAGAACATGGCATTGATTTTGGGGCAGTGCAGGCTGTAGCATCTAAAGCAGTAAAGCAGACTTGTGCAATCTCCTCCCTGCAGCAGTACAATGGGCTGAGATGCAGTTTGGATCTGTTGCTGCTGAGGCTGAAGGTTTGCTCTGTGCCTTTTGAGGAAAGCAACACACTTGCCTCTTGCTCTGTGCACAGCTTTATGTGTGACAGAGCCCTTGGGTTTTTTACCAGCAGCTGTTTTTAGGGGAGAATGGCTCTGCTTCTGACACAATTCCACCTGAGCTGGGCCAACACCTGGCAAAAGATAGAAGATACTAAAATTCAGGCCTTTTCCTGTCACTGCATTCATCTCAGAAATGGAAAGGGTTAGTGAGAGAGCAGGGATGAGCTTTTAAAGAGGTGTGGAGTATTTGTGGAGTTCCAGCAGTCCTGTCTAGTGAAGGCACTGCAGTTCCAAAAGCAGCATTCTGTGTTGACAGTAGGTCAGCTGTGCTCCAGGAGAGGAGGCAGCAGGTTGCTGGGTGAACACCTCCCTCCTGTTCAGCACTGGAATTCTTGTCATTTCAGGACTCTGCAGTTTAGGAGACTCCAAGGAGTTATTCAGATATCAGCAAATTGAAAAAGTGAGTTGTTGCAGAAGGAAAACTCACTGCTTATTACCAAGGTCTCTCAACTCCCAGACCTATTAGTTTTTCATGGAACTCCTTTCTCTTTTTAATAAACTGGGGTGAGGGTGACATTATGTTTGTAGCATTTGCCTAATTGCAGTCCAAAATTGTGTTTATACACTTGTATACTAAAAACCAAATGTAAAACAAGCTGGGGGGGTCTCCTTACCTTTACAAGGGGATTAAGGACTCGTTTCCTCTTTCATTAAAACCAGGTCTCCACCTCCAGCAGCTCTGTGACAGTGCTGACTCTGTGTTTCTGTCCTGTCTGAGTTCCCTGCTTTGCCTTTTGCTTCCTCTGCTGCTCCAGTGACAGTGGAGTGCCACTGACACCGAGGTGCTGGCACTGCCATGCTGCCCCTGGGAGCTGGGAGAATCAGGAAGGGTCATGGACATCTGGGCAGAGTGTGGAACAAATGCCCAGGGCTAGAGAGATTAAGGGAGATGAAAGCAAACTAAAAACTCCACAATTCTTTCTACAGAAAACAATGGGGTGGGATTTTTGAGCTGGAAATTTAGCTGTGAGCACACAATAGCTACTGATGTGGATCATCCCTCCTACTGGGATACCTCTCTAGGATGCCCATCTTCACACACTTGAGGACTCATACAAGCCCTACTCCAGTTGCTTACACTCACACTTTATTTTAAACCCACTTCTTACCTACCCAGGCTCTTTTTGCACCTCCACAAGATCCTTATCCCAGCTGCAGAGCTTCCTGTGGGTTAAGAATTACACTCTGCTAAATCTTGCCAGGGAGCCGTGGTCATGCTGCACCTGGGGGAAGGCTTGGCTCCCGAGGAGACAGCCCTGAGCATCCATTCAGCAGTGCCATTGTTATTTAACACTTCACAACAGCAGCTGCCCCTCCAGAAACTACCACCAGCTCACTCTGTCACACAGCACAGAGAAGCAGGGGGCTGCCTGCCCTCCTCCTATGCACATTTTGGGATGGATTTCTCTGGAAACTCATCATCCCACCAGAGCTGTAGCTGTGTTTGGTTCCTGCAGGAGGCAGGCACCACTGAGAGTTTTTCCAACACCCCTGAGCTGATTCTGGCAGAGGCTGTGGCCACACGTGGGCCTCAATGCAAGAGAACAAGAGGCTCAGGACTGTCCTTTGTTTTTAAGTAGGCTGTGAATAGCTGGCAGGAGAAATAGAGGTAGTATTGACAAAAAACATCACAGCTTAAGAAATTTGTATCTCTGGTGGCTGGTGCTGTGAAAGAAGAAAATTTCAAAGCTCATTTCAGCTCTTTATCTGCAGAGGGGCGGTGTTAAGTTGTGTTTTCTGATCTGTACACAGGTAGGAAATTCCTAGAGTTGCTTTCAACACATTTCAACAAAGCTCTGAAGAGAGGATTTATCCTTTGACTGCTCAGACTCAGACACCAGAGAGATTATGCATCTTTGGCTCAGGCCTACACTAGCAATGGCTTAATGAAAGCTGCCAAAGAAATGGCTGTTAATTTTCTGGTTTAATACACTAGACATTTACAATACAAAGAATATTTTTTGCCTAATTACACTAATTGCACAGCTTAGTCAAAAATGGGCCATAAATGTCTAGGGCTGTTGCTTCAGCTTAGATATACGTGATCTATGATCACAGATCACTTTGTGCACACCTATGCAATTCCTTCTCTCCTCCTCTGATAAAATCTGCTCTACCTTTCAATACATATTCATCGAGGCTCCTAAAAACCAGTGTGCATTAGAGAGGAACTCATCAAAAGGCTTCACTGCAGAAGATCTCAGCAATTTACAATGGAAATACGTACCAGTAGCAGCAGCTCTGTGGTCTGTGTCGTCCCCCCTTAGAGCAGTGGGTTTTGGCTTCTGCTGAAATAAAGCAGCACTTGGCAGGGCCAGACCTTGGGCTGTGTCAGCCCTGCTGCTCCAGAGGCAGGACAGGTCCTGCCTTTAACCTTGGAGCCAGAACACGCAGGAAGGGGGTTTGAAGGAGCAGCGTGTTCATCTGGACAAGGCAGAGCAGGGTTGAGGGTGTGCAAGGAAACACATCCTGGGGGATCTCCTAAATCCCCCCGATGGAAGGGTCCCTGCAGAGCTACAGGTGCAATTACACAACAATTAACTTCAGTTAAAGCAAAATTAAATTAAACAGCTTTTCTATCCGTGGTACCGATACGCAGTCTCTGCTCAGAGCTCAGCTGAAAGTGTTTATTTACATAATAATGAACATTATAACAGGGCTCTAAAGATACCCTTCACACCTCTGCCTCCATAAAACAAACCCATCCAAACCAAGTAACTCCCCACTTGCCTGGTTACTAACTTCCATGCCAGACAGGACCCCAATGTCTGGCACAGAGGGTGCACCCACCTCTTTGAGAGACATTTCTTAGATCAGATCAGGTGTTAAACCACGACCTTAACCTGTAGGGTGTTAGAGCTTGAGCTGTCATAGGTCCGACCCTTTTCCCTCATTGTCAATGCAGGATAGGTGAGAATTACCCTCAAGAAACAGAGACCTTCAATCTTCACTTCTCCCATCTCATTATCTTTCCAGTCTCCACTCAGCCCATATTCCCTGAGCTCTGGGGCTGGGCCAGCAGAATGAGCAGAGATCTGGTGTTGCTGTGCACTGAGACATCCAGGCTTGCCCAGGCTGGTCCCTCCTTTCTGTGCTCGCAGCTTTGGCCTCAAAGCAGCTCCTGGGTTGGGCTGTGACCAGCACCAAGGAGCTGCAGAGCCAGGTCTGGCAGATGGTGAATGCAGGCTGCACATCCTGAAACATGACTTGGCCCAGCCAAGCCAGCTCCTAGACAAACCCTTACTGAGCTGCATTAGCCATCACACATGGAATCATCTGATTTAGCCCTTACAGGGCTGGGGCACAGGTGAGTCCTAAAACCCACCTTGATAACAAACACTCTCCATGGGACTGATCTTGTGATTACTTACGACTCTCATTATGTGCCAACAACAAAAAAGCTGCAGTTAAAACACAAATGGCAGTGGTTGCTAAGTGACAACATCCATCACAGCCCTGAGACAAACAGCTGTGGCTGCACAACAATCTTGTCTTGTCCACGTAATTGAGGACAAAAATGCTGTTTTCATTACTGTCTAGTAACTTTGACCCAAAAGAGTATTTTGTGCTTTAGGTTCTGACAAAGAACTCTGTGAAAACAAGGCTGAATCTTCCAAAGAAACCAGCTGAAATGAATTTGATTCAAAATACCTTTGATATTGCATGCTCTTTCAACATATTTTCTCCCCAGTGAAGTAGTGCATAAGACAAACATGGCTTTCTCAGTTAAATGGCCCATTTCTGAAAACAGAGAGCAGTGACAGTATTTTCAGTGAGGGTCACGTGAAACAACAACAACAACAAAATCAACAAAATCAACAAAACACCCACTTGTCAGCTTCTAAAGGGAACCTGTGGGCTTCCTTCAACACTGAAGCTTTCTGCAATATTTGGAAAAGATAATAATATTTCAGAGATGTAAACAACATTTATCCTCATAAATAAGTATCTAAACTGTAAGTTTAAAATTACATGAAATGATGGTTTAGTCGTTCAGGAGCCTGAGATCCAGCAAGGCACAAAGGGATCACTTGCTGCAGGGAAAGCAGGGGTGGGACAAGGAACTTGAGAACCGGTTAGCCTGGGTGAAAACCCTTAGAGCAGGGAGATCCTAATTAGCACAATTGGCAGCTCAATGCATCTGAGGAAGATTATTTAGGAAAAAAAGGAGGAAAACCAGCTGTACACAGCAGCTTGCTCACCCTGCACGCTCCTACACGCTGAGACAGCTGAGGCAGCTGAGACAAAGGGACAGATCCGTCACTGTCCCATGAGCAGATCTGAAGTGACCGGGAAAAGCTACTGTAAATGCAGGCGAACCCAAAGGGAAGGAATGATGATGTCTGACTCAATTCAGAAGGCTGAATTGTTTCTTTATTATAACTATGCTAAAATACATTACTATACTATATAAAAGGAGGATACTAAAACCACATACTATCTCTGACTCTAACACAACTCGTGACCCTCTCTCTCCAGTCCAGCCCCAGTTGGGTTGGATTGGCCATCAGGCTCAAACAATCCTCACCAGAATCCAACCAAGCACTCACTCCAGGTAAACAATTCTCCAAACACATTCCACATAGGAAAAACAAGGAGCAGAAATAGAAATTTTGTTTTCTCTTTCATTTCTCTCTGTGCACCTCTATGAAGAATCCTGAGAAGGAGAGAAATGTGCTTGCCACAGAAAGCCACTGGTGGTGCCCAGTGGAGCGAGAAATGCAGCAGCAGGAGCGCCCAGCTCGGGCACCACGTCCCGCTGCCAGCTCCTGCCCACAGCCACCCCCAGCAGCAGCTCTCAGAGGCTGCTCTGCTCGTTACACCCTTCCCTAATGAATTCTCTTCTGCTCCATCCATGGAAGCCTCAGTTCCCAGTGCCAGCAGTGACAGAGCTGCCAGCAGCTCAAAGAAAGGAGTTGCCGGCGCAGTCAAAGCTCACCCGTGTGGATAAAGCCAACTCGACTGCTGCCCTTGGTCACATCTCCATGTCAGCACAGGAAACACTTCTATTTTGCACATTACACCAGAGTAAAATGTGATTTCTTTTTCCCCCTCTATATTTTATCCATAAACAGCTCTTTTCCTGGCTGTTCTCATTCCTCAGATTGCTTCACTACAGTCAAGAAAACGAGTGTGCCTTGCACTGGTGTTAAACCCCTGGGTCTGCTCTCCCAGTCCTGCAGCACGGGGTGAATATTGCAGGGCAGACAAAGGTCTGCCTCTCCAGCAGCATTAAATCAGGCAGCTCCAAGGTGCAGAGTGCCTGCCTGCCTGCCCGCACCAAGGGCACGTTCTCCATGAGCACAGCGCAACCTCCCTGCTGCCACAGAGGGGATAGAAAGAGAAGTCTCCTGTCACCCTAATTCCTGCTGAGAACTTCTGCCCTGTAGGGATCAGCCTTGCCTTCCTTCCTAGTTTGGGAGCATCTTCTCCGCCCTTTATTTATTTCAGCAAGATCAAAGATTCATCTCCATGGAAACGTCTGAGCTCAAAGAGTTTCTGCACTACAGCTTTGCATCCTGCACGGAGGGTTTGGCACTGGCTTTTTGAAACAGGAGCTTTGAGATGATCAGCAGTCAGGTCTCTCCAGAAATGGTTTGGTGAGCAATAATCAATAACCTGAGCAGTGGGGGTATGTGTGTCACTAACACAGACAGCTGAGTGGAGCTGCAATTCCACTGTGGAATCTGGGACCCATGAAGAGCACAGGAGGGACACTGACACGACTGCTCCCCAGCATCTGGCACTTTTCCCCGTGTCTGATATTTGGTAGGACTCCCAGAAGACCAGAGCCAGGTGGGCAGAGCTGCTGGAGCCCATCACTGCCCACCCTGTGCTGCAGCTCATGCCTCAGAGGAGGGGGCTGCAAAGCTGCTTGGATTTACCCAAAGGAAGCAGCGAGTGGCCCAACAGCCAGCCCAGCAACGACCTCGTGAATTCTGCATTCAAACTGCTGCCTCTGGGCCAGCAGTGGCTGGGGCACTGGGTCTGTGTCATTCCAGTGATTTCCCTCCCAGTAGCTTTGAGCTCCAATTCCTCCAGCACAGCCACTCCTACAACTAGTTCCCAGGAGAGGGAAAATTAAAAAAAATTAAATAAACCAGACGTGTTTAATGCTATTTTTGCTCCCTTTTCAGCTCACCACATGGCCACACAAACTGTTAAACTGTTGTTCTGGGGGCAGGAGCAACCAGCCAGGAGGGAAACTCTTCAGACATCCATGGCAGCTGCTGCTGACAGAAAGGGGCCATGGAGCTGCAGCCTCGCAGGAAATCCTGAATTCTACTTATCTCTCACATGAAGGAAAGATGGACAAAAAAGAGTGAAACAGAACTCATTTACAAGACTCACATTTTCACAGGCATGTCCTAGGAAGGGTGGGCATGGAGTGGAGAGCACGTGGGGCTGCATTTGCATTGGAGAAGAGTTAATAGCACCCACCTGGAGAGCATCACCAGCACCTGGGGCAGGAGGAAGCCCCTTCTCCCAGCACTGCTGGGAGCACAGATTCTGTTCTTGAGGAAGTCACACCACACCTCACTGCTTGTGGCAGTGCACAGCCCCAAGCTGCCCATATGCAAGCAGAATGTGATTTTTATAATCATATTAAAAAATTTCAGAATAGTAACTGTGCAGAGAGCAATCCAGCTGCCAGCATTTAGCCTTTTCCTAGGGCACAGGCAGAATACACCAGCCATGAATTAATACTGCATAAGCTGCACCATGCTGGGTTTCATGGCTTAATTATAAAAGTGAAAGCAATAATCAAGGGATCTGTAAGGCTAATAAATGTTCTGAGAGCACCAAATGTGACACAAGAGCTGCAGCCCATGCGACAGGACATGAATGCATTTAAAAAGCACGTTAATCACACCCTGGGCATTAATTCACAGTTGGTTTCCAGCAGCAGCTCTTGGCCTTCAGCCGCCTTTGTAACATCACCAGGCACAAACGGATCCTCTCCCAGCCCAGAGCAAACTGGGCTGTGCTCAATTCCCCAGCCAAAAATCCCAGTCATGCATCAGCCAAAGGAGACCCAGAGATGAGCTCTGACTCGAGGCTCTGCAGCCCTGTGGTTCCCCTCTGCCTCGTGCCTGAGCTTGGTTTGGTGCCACTCCTGTCCTGGCACCTGGAGGTTTCAGTTCCCCCCAGCTGCCCAGCACGAGTCACCTGGTGAAGGACAGCACCAAGGGAAAAGCAGGCAAAGTCTCCAGTCACCTCTGCAGCAAAACACTTGAAAATGCTTCTGTTTCTCAGTGCCTCCAACTATCTCTGCTCTCCATCTCGTGTCTCATCTCACTGCAGTGCTGTAATTACGCAGGCAGAGCGTTGCAGGGCTCTGCCCCTCAGCCACAGACCTCCCTTCTCCTGTGGGGAGAGCCTGTTTCACTTTACTGACCATGTGAGACTTGATGTCTCTACACCTCAGGGAAAACTCTGATGAACCTGAGAGCTGGGGTGCCACCAAGGACATCTCCACCTGGCACACAGCAGTCCCAAACTCCTGTAGACTGAGATGCCAATGCAGGACACGACCCAGCCCTGAACTGTTGACATCAGCCAGACACTCCCTGAGCTGAAACGCTGCAGGACTCTGTGCCAGACTGAGGGCTGCATATATGCAAACTTGAAATGCTCCCAAACATCCATTTCTGCCCAATAATTTATTGGAATCAAAAAGTTTCCTATCTGCAAATGTCTCATCCTCTAGCTCTCTAAAAAGGGCAGCTCTTCCCAGTTCGCTGCCTAAAGATCTATTATCAAAGATTTATTTCAAAAGAAATAGTTGCCTTCTTCCCTTACTAATATTCCCAAATTTATCTATGTCCTACTTAACACCTCCTCTGAAACCAGGAAGCGAAAAGCTATTTCTGCTGGACTCAATAACTGGACTCTGCTGAATCCCAGGGAACACAGACCAGATACAAGGCTGAGTTTAAATCCTGGGATGGATTGCTCAGGCAGCAGCCTCCTCCTTTCTCAGTGTTCCTAAAGCCTAGAGGAAGAGGCAAGAGGAAGACAACCATGAAAATAGATAGATAAATAAATAATAATTCTGTATATTCCCCAGATCTTCTAAGCCAGACCAAATTTGTACACTGAAGTTTCATTCTCCTGCCTGTAAAAATACATTTCTGCCCCCTCTTCTGCCTCTGCAACCATCTGGAGACCTGAAATCATGCTTCCTCATGGGAATGAATCATGGAGCAGCCACACTGACTTCCTGCAGAGACACAAAATCGATGGTAAAAAGTAAGGAAGACCCTTAAATTTTCCTTTGATTGGCACCAGACAGACTTGGACCAGCTACATGTGTGGGCTGATGTCTCAAGAGTCTCCAGGTCCAGTCAAAACTCTCAGCTCTGAATAAGCCCATAGTATTAGAAGCTGCCCAGATGCACATGAAACCTGATCTAGCAACTTATTTGCAAATAAATGGCTCCCTTTCATCCACCCACAGATCTTCTGCCCAGTGTTTTCATCTTCACTCCAGAGCTGTTCTCTTTTTCTCTCTCTTATCTTCTCCTCCAGCATCAGCTGTGGCAGCAGATTGCACTCACTAATCAAAGAGGGGCTGGGCTCTCTCTGCTTGCTCCTTGAAGTCTGTGGCACTACAGTAACACCAGCCAAACATTTGTTTTCATTAAAGCTCCTCCCCGAGCTGCCAAAGGAGCCTGCACTGTGCCAGGACACAGCAGAGAGGGACAATTCTGCTGGTCTGGCTCTGCCTTAGGGACACTGATGTCCCCACTCCATCACCTACCAGAAGGTGCCTGCTGCTCTCTGCTTCTCTCCTGCCACCTCCTGCAGAGGGAAGGGAGCTGTCCTTCACTGCTGCCAGTCCCTCGTGTTCCTCAAGGACATCATGGAAATCCAGGAGTGCCACACTCAGTGCTGCTCATCCACACCTCCAGGAGGATTTTCTGTAGGGTTTTTTGGGGAAGGGTGATGGATGAGGCACGAGGCAGCATCACAGGGCACGTCCTGGCACATGGGATGGCCCTGCCCAGTGCAGGGCAGCAGCTGGGCAAAGGAGGGGCCTTTCCTCAGCACCAGCACAATGCACTGCATTTTCATGGTATCACTGGGGAGACAAGGAACACTTCATCCCCCTTCCACCCCTCTGATGTGTGGCAGGGAGCCAAATCAACTGATTTCAGTGAGGAAGCAAAAACCTCCTGCAGCCTTGTCAGATGAGGTCCCTCAGACTCTGCAGTTCAAGGTGAAATCCTACTTTAATAACTCCTCATCTCCTGCCTTTGATCCTCGACCAGAACCACACCACCAGAGCTTGCAAAGGGAGAGAACCTGACCCCAGACAGGTCTGCCACGTGCTCCCAGTACCTCCCAG